CCTTTTTGTGGAAACTACGACATCCAACAATTGAACGATTGAAGTGTTGGCATTATAAAAGAAATGCTAAAAAAGATATCGTCACAGAATATGGAGCTAACGATATCCGTATTCTGTGATATCGTGTTTGTTTTTGAAAAATTCTTTATAATTTACTATAGACACCAGGGGGAGGTCGAGAATATTATTTTTCTGCAAAGCGATCATTTCAGCGGAAATACTTCCGTTGGCCGCCATTTTTTTGGCGACCTCGCCCCAGTAAAGTTAGCCGCTCCAGTTATTATAGAACTCAATGGTCAAACCAATCACAGTAAGACAAAAATTTAAACGAACAAATTACACGATAGCAATTGGACACTCTTATTGGTCCGGCCACCATGCTTATCGGTCGAGATTATTCTATATCGTCAACTGATCTGGCTATTGACCAATCAAATGGTTTAAATAAGCTTTCTTGAACTCCGTTATCGGTCGACCCAGTCGAGCCATCCCGCTGATCAGTCAGCCAGTTAATTTAATTCTAGATATGTTTTTATCTACTGATCTGTTTACTAAGGTGGTATTTGTATAAGTTTTCATAAATAAAACAGAATTTTGACGATGAAATCCAAACGATTACAGAACGAAAATTTAATGATCAAAGAAAATTGTAATCATTAAATTTTATAAATAATTTTTGAACTACAAACATCAGTCGCGTGACTGATTTGACATACCCTAGATCCGCCCCAGGTTGAGTCCATCAGGTTCTAGTTCTTGGAAGGATAGGTTTGTGACAGCTCCCGTGTGTGTGAAAGGCAGTGTTTTGTTTAGTGTGAGGTTTCTCAGTTTCATTCGGTGGTTGCACAGAAACTTGTTGATCTTTCATTAATATTTTTTGTAGAACCTTTTGTAAGATATACCAGTCAACTTGATTTAGTATAGTTTTAAGTTCCGTTGATTTCTTGTCTAGATCATTCTAATAGCACAGAATAGTTATCTTAACAGAAGGTCCAATCGTTTCGGAAAAGAGACGTAACTAGAACGTTAATTGGGAGGGTGTATATTCATATATTCAGTTGTGCCCTACTGATTTCTTTTGAAATTCAAATCATTTCCAAAAGAAATAAGTATGGCATAACGGAATATATGAATATCCCCCAATTCACGTTCTAGTTACGCCTCCGTGTCGGAACCTTTGATGTTAGTGTCCCCCACTTCTGAAGCAAATTCTAAAGCAGACACTCCTTCAAGCAAGATCACTAGATCGCAATAGAAAATATAGATGTTTTTACAAATATATCGTTTTGCACTACAAAAGATTGAAACCTTATCTTCTTTGCAAGATGACAATTCTTTGTAAAAATTTCGGCAAACTTTTGCTTTGAACGTGAATTATTAGTAAAATAGAATTGTCGTGCAATACTATTCCATATTGATTTTGTGAAAGTATCTTGCTGGGAAGTCACGCAAGTGTGGTGAAAAAATACGCCACGATTTTAGCCGAGTGGGCCTTCTGTTAGATGTCTATTCTGTGCTAAAAGTATAAATACTATTAAAGTGACCTTTATTAAACGGTCACCTCTATTAAGCGGACGCGGTCACCTTTTCCAATGTCCCAAACTTAATTTTTCATTGTTTTGAAACTGTATTAAACGGTGAGGTTAAGTAAATGCATCCCACAATAAAATATATAATCAAATATTTATTCTGGAACATATCAAATATATTGTAAACATGTCTTTATATTGGATTTATCTTCCGTAATGACTTCGAAAAAGCCAACAATATTTTCTGTATGTGGACGAATTACACCAGGAATTTAAACTTTTCTTACGTCCTTTTAGACATTGACAAGAAATCATATCTCTAACAAAGGGTGTATATATATAGCAATACACGGAATTTATAAGTTATAACCACCTCTGTTGACACGTTTGCCATTGATTATTTTTCAGCAGTTTGAGCCGTGACATTTTTATGTATAATATTTTTAATTTCTAGTTCAGACTAAGAAAAAATATCTTTATATATATATATAAGATTTTTTTTCTACTATAGTGTTGTTATTTGTATGTTAAAAGACAATATCAATTGTTTCAACTTAAGTTGTATGAAATATTACATTGGTGAGTTTCTTGAAGACTTGTATTAAGCGGTGAAACTGTATTAAATGGTTACACGAGAAATCCCCAAGGGTGACCGCTTAATTCAGGTTCTACTCTATATTAAAAATGAAGATTTGTTTTCCTTCCGTTTCGTCTTCTGTACAGACAATATTTAAAATCTCACGTTTATAATATTCTATTCATTTAAAAGTATTAAGTTTTAACTTTCAAATAAGGAGTTCCACATTGCCTAAAGAAGGCTTTTCATGGAAAAACCAGCATTTTAAAGAAATGTTCAAAAGCCTTAAATATTTGCGGGCTGGCGAGTGGGGCTACATAAAAAACAACACAAATTTTCAGAGGACAAGCTTTCCTTGAAATGACATTGGCAAAGAAACTGTTGACAGAAATAGTTTTCAAGATGCGCATGTCCGTTTTCAACAATGTTTGTAAGTATTTTTCTGGATTTCTTAGTGGTTAGAGGAAAATTATCACAATGCGCAAAAATGTGAAAATAAGCTTTTATGAACGAAGCGATTATATGAAAAATATTTTTCGAAGAGGTTTTTGTGATCAAACCACAAGCCATACAATCTAGTGTGATAAAACTGATTGCGAATGCGGAATAAACGTAATTTTACGTTTCATCTTTTTGAAGTAACTGAACAATTAAAACAGCTTCATATCGATTCAAGTTGTCTCTAGGCATTGAAGCTAGCTACTACTTAGAAATTATCATGTCTCTGAATAATCTATAGTCAGTGGGGAAGCCAAACTGCAAGTTCGTTCATGCTATGTAAATTTTTGAGATAAACTGTATTTTGGTTAAACGCAAATTAGTTTTATGCATTGACAGGCTATCGTGTCCCATAGGAATGGAAAAAGGCATTTATATAATTCTAATTTCACCAAACTACTGCTATTTAGCCAGCAACATAATTCTATATGCAAGTATGAATCTGCCTGTTCCATCTTTATTGAGACACAATGTATAATCATCGGAACCCAACACTTTATTCTCTTTATTCTCAAAGCATTTCCATTTTCTAAACAGTCCGCTACAACATCTATAATCGTTCATACAATCTACCGTAGTATCAAACTCTCTGCATATAGCTTTTCTACAACCGCTACTCTAACCTTTCAGTTTATTTTCCCGTACTTATATTTGAGCCATCAGTCCTGGTTGTCTCACTTCCTGTACGCACTCTTACTATTCCACATTCTTTTACCCAGATTCCACATTCTTTTACCCAGTCTCTTTATCTACTTTCCTTCCTGTGAAGACACCACTATATGTATAAAACTGGATAACGCAACTTAGGGCCTGTTCATATGAGCCCAGTTAGCGTAACATCCCATGAGCGAGCCAAATATTACCTCGCTTTCATATGAAATTTAATCCCACCTGCCGAGACGAAATAGCAAAACAACACTTTCCCAAATTCCACGAGTTAAAAATTAACATAGCGCATCATAGACTTTCGCATTTCTATGGATCATATGTTTTACTTTTAGGACAAAAAAGAATTGTTATGATTACAAAAACTGTAGTAGAACATTATATATTGGCGAAACTTTGCGCCATTTATCCACCAGAATTAGGGAACATAACACAATAGACAAAAACTTTCATATCTACCGACAACTTCTTAAGTCTCACTCTTGTAAAACCAAGTATTCACCCTCTTGCTTCAAAATCATCGACACTGCAGACACCTCATTCTCCCTTAAAATCAAAGAAGCACTCCACATTAAAAAAACTAACCCTGACCTTAATGTTCAAGTTTTTAGATTCAACTATTTAGTTTGTAATACGTTCCCCATTAATTTGTCTCATTTCCTCATTATTGTTATAATTTATCCATATTTATATAGTTATGTCACTGCATCATATTACTTTTATATAAACTTTGTATTATTTATGTAATTATTCATTTATACTGAAGATGGCATCATGAGATGTCGAAACATGTCAATTTAAAAAAAAATTTATGATCTACATTAAATGCGCATTAGCGATAGTTCTTTTACGAAGTTATAATATGATAAATTGGAAACGTCCTTTACTGTATGGAAATCTTCGCAAGTAGTTTAAATATCATAATAAAAATTTGGCACGATTTCGGAAAAAGAAAAGAACAAAAATACAAAGTACTAGACAAACTCATTATAAAATATATACTACAACAGAATAGTCCAATATGCATGGCTACCACTGTCAAGAAATGGCTTCAAAATTTTCTAGGCATCAGTATTAGGTTGCGTTATCTCGTCTATATATATCAGTGGAACACACCACGTACCTATCTGCTTTTTCCCTGATACTAAAATAGTCCAGTCATGCAGAAGCCCATGTTTACATTCTTGAACATGCTTAAATTCTCGCACTCTATTGCCTTTCGTAGTTGTTTATATCCTAGCCCCCATATGTTTTTGCGGAATTTTTTTGTATTTTGACTCCATCTATCAGCGTTAAATATGAAGAGGAAGGGAATCGAGTAAGTTGCTTGAGTTAACACGAAGTACTACGTAGTTTAAGTAACAATGTTTTGAAACAATTCCAACAAAATTGTTCCAAAATACCTAACGAATAACCTGTCATTTCTTTCATACGACAAGTTAAAAGTAAAAGAGAAATTACTTGCACTCTTAGACGAACAAACCAAATTTTGTTTCTTATTTTAGCTGAAATCATAAATTAAAATTAAATTGAAAAGACATACTTTACGTTTGAGATCTTTCACTTAACTTACTTTAGGCATCAATTGGTAAGGAACAGTATCTACGCGACTGCGCCCACCCGCTATACCACGCCAAGCAGGATGAAATCTGATTTAAGAGAAAGCAAAATAAAGATCATGAAATATGAAAAGGAAGTCGATAGAGTAATGCGATACTTTGTTCCTTTCTGCGTAATGGACGAGGGATCGTCTGACAGCATTCATTTGAATGGCTATCGTACTTTAGTAACATATCAAAATATTCTATCAAATACAGATTTGGCCACATCAGGTGAGAAATGTTTACCAATATTTGATTTTGTTCTGGTAATTGAACATTTTACTTCGCAGTGTAGCCGATCGGCAGCAATCACCAAACGAAATGTGTACAAACTTGTCGAAAATTCGCCAAGTAAAGGGTTGAACAAAAACTATGATGATAATTTATTTACAAATAAGTGATAAGACTTATGTGTGATACGCATTCATATAAGTGCCTTACTTCACTAGTTCATTTCATATAAATTGAAATGTGCTCCCTAGTCGTATGATCAAATTCATAACCTACGCGTGTTCTATGAAATTTCATAGCATTAAAGGAGCTTATATAAATTATGACAATTCAAATAAGGTGCATTAAAGATATTGACGACCGACGACCACAGCTGAATCGTATTTGACCTGAGTTGACCCTACTTTGCATAAAAATTGAACGCAAATTGTGTTAATATATCGAAGGGATTATTAACACAATGATATTGTACAAATTATTTAATCAGTTTATATCAGGATCACTTATAAAATGCTTTTGGTATGAACCGTTGTACTGCTTGCGCGTAACAAAAATGTGGAACAAAATAAACAAAAATATTTATCGGCGAAACTTGAAGTTTGCAATGAATGCTATACTTGTTTTCGTCATTTTCTTATAAATTTATTTTCTGTCGAAGAATAATTTTCAAAAATTAACTTTTGGTGTCGCAATTTAGACCTTGCAGATCAATGTAACTGTTCAATCCAACGGCGCATATAGGTTAGGTCAAAATAAATTAAAGCAGCTCATTATTCAAAGGACGTTTTTGCAACGCTACTCGTTAAACATTTCTGAAGGATATTAGGACTAAAATATTCCCATTAGGATTCGCTATAAGATATTGTAAAAGGGATATTTATTCTCAGTAATGTATTCTAACCGCCCGTGGTCGGCCACTGGCTTAATCTTCCTATACAAAGCTAAAAGTTTTTAAAATAGTGTTGGATAATGTCAAAAAACTAGTCAAGCGTTGTTGTCATGTTAACTGCAAAAACTAGTACTTCAGGCGATATGTTTTCTTTATCAATAAACAAAATAAGAATATGTATCAAACTAGACATTTCTTCGGCAAGTGTTTTAATGTTAGATGTAATGTCGTATTATAGCTTCGAAACAACTGGTCTTCTTAAAGAAATGACTAGCTCATTTCGAACAATTTTGTCGCTTTAACTACCATTAAGGATGCCTTCTCTAACATCGTACATACATTTTTTCAGGTAAAAAATGAATGGCACCTTGCAATTACTCCTTTGCTTCGCTGGTCTTTTTGTTCTCGTTATTAATGCTAAAAGACGTAAGTTAATTTTTTTGCATCTGTTTTACATGCTTCTCACTAATATATCTTTTATATTTGTTACGAAATGACTACTATAAGCAAATTACACTCAGCATATCTACAAGAAAGTTCCAATTTTTTTTCAATACAAACTTTAAACTATTTATATGTAATGTCCACTTTGAAAATCAATTGTTCGCAAACTGACTGTAAAAAGAATCAGGCTATTTATTTGTGCAGAACAAAGATATTTATAGCCTCACAAAATCAAAATTTTTGGAATTATAATTCCAGGTGACTGTTCTCGGCCCAAACTTCCTTCATCGCTTTTTATTTATCGCTTGAGCAAAGGCGCGAAAAAATCACAAAATCGCTACAAACATGGTGATTGGGTGTTCCTACGATGCAAAAACAACGGTCTAATGATTGGCCCCTCGTTGAGAATGTGTAAATCAGGCACGTGGATTGGGAAAGAAACTAAATGCATTGGTATGTTGGCCTGCTTCTTTTACAAATTTTTCTACAAAATGATTAACATTATTTGAACTTAAAACTCTTATTAGAATGTTATGTCGTGATGTACGAAATAAAATTATAATAATGACATTATTCAAAGTACGCAATGGTATGTAACAGGAGATGTATTACAGTTTTTGCCATGAGCAAGTCGTGATACTAATTAATAGACTGCTCAGTGTCACATTTGAGCTCATCAATGTGTATAGACTACATTTCATCAATTAAGACGCAAGCAAGGCGTGATTGCATGCCTATGAAGAAAAAATATTTTGACTAACAAGTCTCACTTTTAGAGTAAGGTAAAACATGAACAAATACATTAAATTACCTTTTCACTAACAACTAGCGGGTCCAGCGTTAGTCAAAATAACGTATAGCTGTTTAATTTTAAATTCAAAGTACTTTCGGAAAAACAACTATTGGTTTTGAATTTCTAAAGAATATAATTTTATCAATGGATTTGCCTCTGAGATATTTAGAAATGTAAATGCATGCCAAAATGTGCTGCAGTATTTTATTTTGAATTTCCCTACCGCCGCTGTCACTATAATAACTTATTTTAAGCACTTTTTGCCATGCAAATACTAAAATTTCAATTTTAACTTATTCGTTGATGCTGTTTGAAATAGCCTCCTGCTTTCCCAAAAATCTTCAGAAGCAAAACTCAGGAAAACGGAGATTGATTTCTATAGATGATGCTCTGTTTCAACCAAAAATAGACCACTGCAAAACAAAAGATTAATTGCATGTGCATTGTCAAGATAAAGGCTATTCGCTATAGAGTAATTTAATATGTTTTAATATGTGCTGGGTCTTTTACAAGCACAACTATCTCATATCATATCACAAATTTCTCAGTCCTTGTATCATTACTCTAATGAGTAAGTGAAGTTTTTGGACAGATTGATTAAAACTGTGACAACATAACGTCTTGTTAGTTATAAATTCAAAAACATAATAGGTAAATGTTGTCAATACTAAAATCAGTGTTTCTTTTTGAATTGATCAAAATTTTACGTTTGGAGCTTATATCGATGTTTATAAGCTTTTCTATCTATATTGAAAGGGCATTAAGGAAAGTTTAATGTGCGGTCAATTTGTGGCAAATGCAATAAGAAATGATGAATGAGAAGTGGAATGAATTTGAGTGAATGTTACACTGTAAAAAATGATTGGTTAAAATAACTATATGATTGGTAAAAGTAACCATAAAAATATTGGTTTAAAGGGGTGAAATGCATCTAAGGTAACCAATTTTATGGTTATTTTAACAAATTAGTTTTTACAGAGAAAGTTTCATTTTTGTACCAATTCCACGTTCTCATGCATCTATTGAAAATTCAGCATTTTGCAGTTTTACTATTCTTCCTTACCCTTATTATTTATCTTTGGATGTTTAACGTAAGTTTATTCTCTTTATAGTGAAACGAAAGACCCATGTTGTGAGATGCAGGAGGATTAGGTACCTCAAAAATGGTAATATACATGGAAGCAGACGTGAAGTGGGAGCAGTGTTACGATTTTCATGTTTAAATGGATACAATCTATTGGGACCAAAACGGCTAACTTGTCTATCAAAAGGAAACTGGAGTGGCGATTTCCCTCGATGTTTAAAGGGTATATACACAGCCTTTAATTTAGGATGCTTAATTTTTCTTTACCATGGTTCCACTTCTGACTACCACAAAAATGCAATATTTAAATGTAATGGACGAGGCAGAGCATAATATAAACAATTATATGTAGACTGAGTTCATTGTTATTTTGCGTAGTGAAGTTGCACGAGGATAACATTGACCGAAATAGCTCTTGATATCATGCAAAAGCCGAAATAAGTTTTGTGTATAACAAATTTATGTTTCCTTATATTCTGTTGGTGTAATGTATGTTAAATAAAGATTTTATGTCCGTTTTAATGGCAATGAATGCTCTAATATCTTTAGCAAAGAAATACTCAAGTCAGGCGTTGGAAATGGGTGAACCTCCATAGTTCAATTACTTGTGTTGTCGTGAACATCTGCACGTAATATGACAAAATTATAGCCCTTTTTTTTCTGTACAATGAGCAAAAATATTAAGCTCCAATTATCCCAGTTGATTAAACGTTTTTTGGCATTATTTGACATGCATGCAACAAAGTTTTTGTGGGGTCATTTTAAAAATATCTTATCATTTGTTTCTCTTGTACAAATATTATAACCTTTGTTTCTCTCGTAGATATTAATTGCCCAAATCTCACGACTCCCGAAAACGGCACTCGTCAGGGAAGCATATTTAAATATGGAAGAAGGGTATTATTTACTTGCAATGCCGGTTACCACCTGCGGGGCTCAAAGTTACGTAAGTGTATGTCTAACGGAAAGTGGAGTGGAGAAGAAGCAACATGCGTAAAAATGGGTAAGAGATGCTTCGTTGTATTGTTCCAATATGTCGAAAGAACGTTCTCACATATTTTATGATCACTGTTTACTGAGTTCATATATTGTTGAGGATTAATAGACTGTTGTTCAATAAAAATTTCGAAAACGGATGACTCCAGAGAACACGAAATATGAACATATGACACAAAATATGACACTGACTTATAAGCATGACACTAATTTTGCTGTGTTAAAGTATGAAAAACATAGTTTTAAGGTATTTGTCAGCAAGAATGGAAAACATTCTACAGTTCAAAATGATGTAAAAGGATGTAAAATGACGTAAAATGATTTAAAATGTGAATATAGGAAATGTTCTATAATTTACATAACATTACTAAGCCTACAAGCCTACATTTCAACTGTATGTTTATGTGCAATTTTTGTAAAGCACTAAAAATGCGCATTTAATAAAATGGTGTGGTACACACTGATTTGAAAGTGGTGCGACCTTGGATGACGTCTATACTTTGGTATCAATTACCAACAATCTCGAATTTTGAGCTTGAAATTATAAAAAAATTATCCTTAAGTATTCCCAAAAACACAGCAACATTTAACTTACACCATCTTTGGCAGGGTGGGACGCAAGCACTAAAACATTTCGGCAATCATAGCATATAACAGAGTGTCGCCTCTGGACGTTAATCAACCTTCCCTAGCTTTAGAGTACATTTAATCATTAAGTAACATCACTACTAACAATTTCCTTAGAATAAAACTTTGGAATAATTATTTGAACGAGCGGAAAATCGTTACCATTAGTGAAATTTCAATTAGATAAATAAATGACTTAAGATAAAAGGTGAAATTCAATAAAATTTTAAAGAAATTTTTTACGCATCACTTAACATTTTGGCCCTGTTCACACGATACCGGATTCGTATTGTACCGAATTCGCTGAGCAATCAAATACGAAAGCTGATCTGTTCACACGATTGGCAGATTGGTAAGACGCAACATAAGTTCTTAATTCGCCCCAGTACTTGTAAGTGCAAGTAATAACAGCGATGATTGCTAATTCAAATATTTCGTAAGTAAATGAGAATTTTTTTGAGCGTATTAAAGTTTTTTACGAATGGACGCAAGGACTGGAAGCGTGTAAAGTCCAAATACGACTGAACTTATGTTGCCATTACAATAATACTAGAAAGAAGCCTTTCACACCACAATAATACATTGCTAAAAACTTAAAACATGCCATGGTGAAGACTTGTTATATTGCTGGCGAATAATTCATTGAAAACATAGTTTTTATGTGTGCTTTAATTTTTGAAGAATCGCACGAACTTTTTACTTGCCAAATTGGAACGTATCGGATTTGATCGTTCTCACGACAGAGGAACGTATCGGATCAGTTTTCATACCACTTCCACAGCGGAGTCATAGAATAGAGAATATATAGAAGGGCAACTCGCGTCGGTAACCTTTGATGTAAGCGTGGCGCGCAGTTTGTTTCGCGCATACCGGAAATGTGACGGCCGCCATTACTCTGGCCAGTAAAGTGTACAACATTTACTATGAAAATATATAGAGTGGAAGCCGTAAAGTGGGTTAAAATGTAGATTTTTTGAGCTGTTGGCTGTTTTTGGCATCTTTTTGAAAGAAATTGAAATAAAAAGGCAAGTATTTTGTATATATCATGTAACAAATGCATTTATTTAATATATTTATAGCGAAATTCAGTCGTAAAGCTTGAACAGGTTCTGAGGTTCAGAAGTCCTGAGGACTTAAATGAACTTGGATGCATTACATGTTAAATATATTATTGTGATATAAAAAGCTTTTGTCTTCAATTTAGTTTTATAAAGGACAAAAAATTATATGCACAAAGCCCTCAAAGGTGTGTGACTTTAATGTACTTTCTGTCTTTCTTTTTAGTTGTTGCGAATATGTGCTTCGCAAATTTTATGGCGTAATAAATGCGCATTCTTACAAAAAGTTTCTGCAAGAACTCAAATAGGATTTCCGTACAGCAATCAAATTCCTTTGGTATGGACTTGACAGTGTCTAATATACTTCGACCAACACCTTCGCTCTTTGTGTAGACAGAAAACGTCTTAATATGTCTTCAAGTTTAATGATGTATTCCAGATAAGGAGAAGATGGTGATTGTAGTCCTCCTAAATCAGATTTCTTTTCATTGAATGCTTTAAAGTGGCAGAATGACTTTCTGCTATCATCTATCTATGAAAGAGCATTGGTGCATTTCAGACAAGAGTGGAGTTTGAAACTCTTTATTAGAAGAAAACCAGACACATATGCAATGGCATTTTCCCTCAATATGTTAGTAATAACATTTGGCTCCTTGTAGTTAGTAGGACCAATTGCTAAAATTTGTGGTTGCGAAAATGGAAAGACTTGAACCGTTTTCTTCTGGCTGACTTTATTCTTTGCAACATTTTTGGAATACTCAACCAGCATAGAATCAAGGTCGTTGTCACAATTTCCAGATGAACAGGTTAGAAGGAAACTGAAGAAAAGCTTTCTAAATGCTTGCATAAATTGGGTTGGAGTGGGGTTATCACTATTGCCTCCCTGGCGACGAATAGTACCAAAAATGGAAAATGTACAACTTTATAATCTGGAATCAAAAAGTTGCAGTAGAGACGCACACATGAGAAAGATCCACAGCACACCCAATATACAATGCTTTGGGTGATTTGAGAATTGAATAACATTGGAAACTTATTTTGATAAAGACATTTCTGAGTGAAAAATATGTACAAAATAACAGCAATATAATAAATATTATATTTTCTTAATGGTTAAAAGGTTAAAAACATGTCTTTGTCATTAAAGACTTACATGGTGCACAAAAATCTTTAACACAAAACAATTTAAACTTTGGAATGTGTGCATTTCATGCAATAGAATATACAGAATAAAATACAGCAATTCAGTACACATATTTACATTTAAAAAATTTAATGACAACTTTATTCAGAGATGGATATAAGAGAGGGTGTGCAGCCCTCCTAGCTTAAGCTAGATGGGGGTGCAGAAGAAATTCTAATTTCTCTATAAATATTGGTATACTAAACAATTAAGCTGAAGAAATTGTGATCAATGTTTAATAGAGCACCCTTACAAAAACCACCCAATCATAACAAAAACGTAATAGAATTTAACAAACAAAGTTTAACATGCTACTGCAACAAGTAGCCACTAAAATCTAATCCAACATACTAAAACTACATAACACAAGACACTTGCAACATAGTCCTCACTTGAGAACTGAATGCCAAAATAACAACTAGAAAAAAATATCAGAAAATCAATCATAACTATTGGTAATAAATTTAATAGAGCACAAATCACAGCAAGGCAAAATTTATAAATAAGGCGAACAGAGTATATACCTCACTAAAACTACATTTGGTATTAAAAATGCCCAACTATTAACATATTAGCATTTCACTCATGCTTAAAATGATAAACAAACCCTCCATGGTTTGAAACTGAATGCTGCAAATTATTATCAGTTATAATTCACACACAAGCATCATGAATCATTATTGGATTACTTGGTTAACTGGTTGATTAACTTGATTTATAGTTTAGCAAGTTGACAAGTTGCAACCTGAAATATTACAGCGTTGGTGCAAGTAAAACTCTGACAAGTTTGTGTTTTAAATAATACATTTATAATAACACCTCAAAAGTTTGAAATTTATAATTCAGAATGGATGAAAACACAAGAGATTTTACTTCTGGTTTTCTATTCACCTAACATACTGACAACTCTATAGCAGTAAAATTAACACCCTACATTGAAACATGTAATTTTTACCAATAAAAAACCTTTACGGACTTGCCAGCAGTTAAATAATGGTCTCTCACCTTATTTCTTTCACGTTTTGTCACAAAATTCCATGATCTTCCAAAACAGTTTGCGTTTTAGGCGATTATTATCCCAAAATCGCGCTTTTCCAATATTATTTTATAGTACGCCAGCGTCAAGTTACTGGCCAGAGTAATGGCGAACCTAATGCATGCGCACAGAAAATATGCCACCCTTTTCACCTGCGAGTTGCCCTTCTATATATTCTCTATTCTATGGCAGAGTCAAATCGCTCCGGCAATACGATATAAAACGTATCTGATTGCAGCGAAGCCGTATGAACGCAAGGCCTATCCGGTACGAAAACTAATCCGATATCAAACAAATCCGGTATCGTGTGAGCAGGGCCTCAGTATATGGGCAGAAGAACGGCTAAATATTCTTTTGTTCTTATTGAATATTTAGTAATGCTTATTGAATTTTCTTGAATGTTATTGAGTATCATCTTTTATCTTAAGAAACCATTTATCTATAGTTAAACTTTCACAAATTGTAATATTTTTCGTTCGTTGAAATGATTATTCCAAATTTATAATCGTGGCCTGAGATTTGCCAGGCGGAAAGCGAATTTTTAATATGAACATAATAGCCCAACATAAGACTTTTAAAACAGCCATCACAATAATAAAATAGAGAAAGATTTATTAATAAGGTTTCGTCTTTAACTTAAGACATCTTCAGATTATTTAAGATAGTCTGGAATGTGCGGTCGTAGCTTGTGATGACAGTACTCGTATCCGAGCGTGCTTTGTGTTTATTTCTTCTTGTAACAATTTGTGTTGACATTGTCAATAGGCGCTAGAAGATTGCAATCTGCGATAAGCAACCTTAAACCATAGGAATCTTGGTATTATCGAGCGCCTCTTACACGAAATAAGGAACTCTAGGTCGAGTTTGGCTTTTCCAAGCTTGAGTTCAAGACGCTGGAATTTCCTGAACGCTTCGAGTGCTCCGTTTTTGTAGCATTTATTTAAAATCGTGGCCAGAGATTTATATTTAGTTGAAGACGCTGGAATTGAAGCTTGAGTTCAAGAAGCTTGAGTTCAAGACGCTGGAATTTCCTGAACGCTTCGAGTGCTCCGTTTTTGTAGCGTTTATTTAAAAGCGTGGCCAAATTTATATTAATATATTGCAGGGCAAAAATCAACATTCAATGATATGGGGCAATATATTAATAAAAATTTGGAATAATCATTTCAACGAACGGAAAATATTACAATTTGCGAAAGTTTAACTATAGATAAATGGTTTCTTATGATAAAAGATGATACACAATAACATTCAAGAAAATTCAATAAGCATTACTAAACATTCAATAAGAACAAAAGAACAAATGATTATTCCAAATTTTTATTAATATATTGCCCCATATCATTGAATGTTGATTTTTGCAGGGCGAAAAGTTTTTATTTAACGAGTTTTTGTTGGTTTTTGTTTAACACGCAGTATCTATATCGAACATGCTTTTCAGATACGGCAATGGAATTGGCAGAAATTGCAGAGAATTTGCGTAAGAACTTTGTAAACAAGTTTAATTTGGTGACAGTGGACAGTCGGGCAAGAATAGGAATATCCTCTGGTGCTTCCGGTTTGGACTTTGTGTTTGTACTGGACAGTTCAGCTAGTGTAGGAGAAACAAATTTTAAACGAGGAATCGAGTTTGTGCAAACAATTATTAAAGAGTACGGAGTGTCCAGCAAGCCACAAGGCACTCGAGTAGCAATTGTAACTTTTAACAGCGTTGCATCAATTAAATTCAACTTGGCAACCAATGTGATTACAGAAACCAGTCAAGCTATGAAGGAATTAGGTAAGAATGCGTTTGTTGTTTCTTATGTTATTGTTTCTTACAGATATTTATGCATAAATTTGCCTTAAGCATAGAGTTGTGCACGAGAGAAAATTTTGTTAATTAAATTAAGTCCTTGCACTTTTTACAAAATACAATGCACGTGTTTAAGGTTGTTGTATTTTAAACTATTATTTCATTGAATTTGCTTCGAGACTTATTCTTACGTATTCTGTTGCAGAAATTCTGTTTTTCGCAGCTTATAATTGTTCAACCGATAAATTACCTATACAATTTTTAAAATCACCATTGGAATAACTTTTGTTTGGATTAATTTGCATTGTGCTATGTCAAAGAGTGCGTGAAAATGGGGAAAGCTGTCGAAACAATAAATTTTTGTGTTTTTACTTGAAAACTAACAAATTAAGCTTTGTTGTATAAACAAGGGCTTCGGAGAGGAAGTGCCCCCTCACTTTGTTGTAGAAAATGTAACATATTAAAAATCTGGCATGAAGTAAATATTGCTATCACTTTCATAATGGAAAATAAAAATAGACATCAGAATCTGAGTAGGTAATGTGAATAACAAATCAGGCGAATGTCGGAAAATATAAATATTTACTATAAATTTTCCACGTTAAAAAAATTTTTACTGCAACTGTCAATGTTCACTTGTTTCAAATTTTCAGCATCTGATTAAATCTGAAACTTGTTGAAGAAAAACCAAAATTTTTAAGGCTTTTCTTTCATCATTCTCAGTATTATCTGCATTTAGTTAAAATGTTTTTAAGTATCCTCGACCAAGATTTATTTTGTAACATACCCATACTTAAGATATCTATTAATGAAATTAAAGTCTAATTTTTCTTGGCCAGGTAATATCAAATTTCAAGGAGGCGGAACGAACACTGAAGCTGCATTGAGTGAAGTTTTTCATGGCGTTGCTCCTGAAGCCAGGGAAAGAAGTCACAAAGTCATTTTTCTTATAACAGATGGTCGCTCAAATACTGGCACTAATCCAAAACATTTTGCCGCTCGTCTACGAGAAAGAAACTATGAAATATTCGCCATAGGAATTACAAAAAACGCCGATATGGATGAGTTAAAAAGCATTGCATCACTCCCGTACAGATCGCATATTCACTTGTTAGCAAACTACGAAACACTAGATAAGCTAAAGGATTTAATAAGTGGAGTTGGAAATGGTAAGCTTATAGCCAAACGAATTTCCTTATATAAAGAGCGTTTTTGTCTGACGTCATAGCCGCCATGTTGGTGTGCAATTTGATCAGAATTTTCCTGAAGTGTTTTTATTTAAAACACCAGAGTGACTACTTTCTCCATTGGCTGTTGAAATCTTTGGGATGGATGAGAGTGGTATACATGGCGTCCCAAAATTTTGAATAATTAAGATAAAGTGCGATGCTCTGGTTCCTGGAAATGTAACGGCTTACATGCAATTAAATATAAGTTACAAATGCGAATTGAAAATTGTGGGATTCAATTTTCTTTCCTTTGGGAACGTTCAAAAATTACTGTGTGCAGTAAACAATTGTGATGGAGAAAATATATTTTTGAAAGATGACGATTGAATTTCATCACGAACAATGACCTTTCCTGACTAAAGTTCACAGCATGTAAGCTATCATCGTTTTGCATGCCATTGCGTCACTCTTTGTAATGGATATTGAAACTCTAACCATTGACGACCGCTATATTGTATGCTTTTTTTGACACACCCTATATATACCACACAAAATATTGCATGTGGTGTAACATTGTAACATTTAAGCCTAGAAGTTGTCTTCTTTGTGCTCGTCTTTAAAGGGAAGGTATTACTCCCACTTAATGCCTTTTGTCTTACAACTTCTAGAAAAATCTAAGGCATAAAAAACACGGATAAGGATAGAAAAATACTGGTAACACAGGCAGATTTTGACGCTTGGATTTTAACTTTTTATCTTCCTGTACACATGCATGTACTTATGTAATTAGTTATATGCACATTTTATCAATGAAAGGTGTGCGAAGCATCTACCACTGCTAAAAATACAAAAAAAGCGCATTGCCAGTGCCTCGGGGCAAGCACTTTCATGGGAGATGACGTATTAAGTTTCTTTGAGTTCTATTGTTTTATCTATTATTCCATCCGCCCATCAATTATCAATTATAATAAAGCCATACATGCGCATGGGCCTATAACGACAACATTTTTGCCATATATTGAAGCTTCATTTTGTTCGTAAATTATAGAATCAATTTACTTTGATATTATTTCAATTCGATTCTGCAGAAAATTGTTTTATTACCTTGACACCTGACAATAGAAACGTTACACATTTGCAATTTTACTTGATTTATTAATTTAGACATTACATTTACAGATTCATGGGCCTGTGGTCTGGCTGGTGATATTAACATTCGCGGTAATTTGAAGGCACCGTACCATAAAACAGCCCGTGACGATGCATGGCCATGGCAAGCAGCTATTTACATTGACGCTTTATACAAATGCGGTGGAGCACTAGTTGCTGAACAGTGGGTCCTCACGTCGAGCAATTGTTTCGATAAGAAAATGCTTAAAAACCTCACGGGTCATACCGTTAAAGTCGTTTTAGGTAAGAAAATGATGTCAAGTTTAAGTATTTCAGGGAAACTGATTTTATTTTTAGTTGTCAGTCACTCCTTCAAAATGAACAAGCAATCGCCCAACTAAAATACATCGTCTGTCAATATGTAAAAAAACGAAGTTTTTTCCTGAGAGTTGCATGGCGAGCATAAATTGTTTTTTCCTGTTCTGTTTCACAGACGAGTGGCGATGAGGTATAATGCGTAGTGACAGTGTTATTGCAGACATTCCTATTAAGGGTTTTCCACTGTCAGAACGATAAAACATGTAAGCGGAAGATAAAAATTGTTCACGAAGATCATGAATTTTATGACTCACAATAAGCAGGGTCATAACTAGAGTTCCAAGATTGGAGCCTCTTGAGTTGACGACTCAAATTGCCAATATAATTGCGCTATTTAATTTTCCCAACAAATGAGCACGTTGTGTAATTTTGTACGTTGGTGCAGCATTTGATTGTCATTTAAGCAAGAAATACAATCGTTAGAATGATTTCAAAGCCAATAACGCGTTACGATTTTTAAATATAGCCAACTTACCTTCAATTATACTCAAGTCTGCTATTATATTCAAGATACACACTACCATATTATATATAGTTGCTATTTTCAGAACAGAGCACACTTGCGAAAGTTTCAAAATAAAGAAAAGAAAACGATTAAAACGAAATACGTCTAGGGAAAACCATACTCATCAAAATTCTGTCGTAAATATAATTCTCTGACTAGTTCATCGTGTAAGAGTCTTAATTGAACGCACACAATCTCTTTTTATTTCATTTTCAAAATTACTTTTTACATAGCATTTATTACAGTTCACGTTTTGTGAGAGTGGACAAATTGAACTGTTTCCTCTCAAGTAGCTCGAGAGTGGATAAGACGTTAGCGACTGGTAGATAATACACAGGGGCCGCGGAGAGGTTTGAAATGTGAGGGGGTAAAAGAAGTTCGCTGAATCGGATTAATGTTAGCAAAGTTGTTTTTAACAGTTTTATCAGGAATCGCTCAATACAAAAAATTTGTTTGATTTCGTCTGTAAAGTTTATTATAGTGCGTTCAGACTGAGTACCCTGGCACGGTGCTCAGGCACGGGCACCAATATGAACAAAACATTTTAATGGTGCCCGTGTATAAGTGCCCTAGTGAGGGCACCAGTAAAAGAGGTAGTACGCAAGTACGGTGCTCGGGAAAGGGCACCAATTTGAACGAGGACACCTAAGTAACGTGTACAGAGAGGCACGCATTCAGCACATGGTTTCAAAACTTGTTTACAAAGAAAAACATGAAATTATAAATAGACGAAGCTAGTGGGCACTACGTAATGAGAAGGACCTGCAGATTTTTTCCCGAACCAGTGTATCGTACTCTAGCAATCAGTGTAAACGTGCTATAATTGATCAATCTAGCGTCCATTAAAAATGAAAGAGGAAGATAAGTGAGACATGAAATACTGTTAAAAATCCATACTTATCAAATGTAATATTTGTTAAAGCGGATTTTTATACTTTTACACCTTGAAAAACAAGAGATAAGGAAGAAAGTTGGGGACAATTGCCCCCTTACCTCCCCTTCTCCGCAGCCCCGGATACAAAAATCACGCGTGCTATCACGGGAAAATACGACCTTTGCCCGACTATGGACAGCATTTAAGCTTGACCCCAAGAGAGAGCAATTTTTTCCTATCTCGGGTAAGGAAAGCACACTGTTTCTCTTGATCTAAGTCAAAAGCATGTCTATATGTATTTTGTAGGGGAACACGATCGTTTCGATGAGGCTGGTACTGAACAAACATACGAAGCCATCAAATTATTCCGAGCTCCGAAATTTGCAAAAGGTGGCAGGGCTAATTTGGTTTTGATCAAACTTAATCATCCAATTAAGCAAACTGCATATGTGCGTACAGTGTGTTATGACGAAGATAAGAAAAGTACTTTAATATGGCCCACCCATTACGGTGTTGTCACAGGATGGGGATCGACGACAAAAGTACGCTTCATTTTTGAAATATTCTCAACTCCTGCTAAAATAAACTGTCTATATTTTATACATTTGTTCATTTTTGAACGTGATTTTAGGGTAGAAACGGTACGGCGACAATCCCAGCTTCAGACGAACTTCATCAAACTGTCGTCAGATTTGTTTCGGAACGAGAGTGTTATAAAAAATTTAGTGCTAGAAAAGTCAGAAAAAACTCTTTTTGTGGAAGCAGTCAGCAGAGAATTGTTGATAATTGTATTGGGGATACGGGTGGACCTGTGGTGGTAAGTAGGTAACTCCTGAGAGAATTCATTAGAAATCCTATCGATTCAGACTACAAAGTGCTTGTCATGATAAAAATCAAATTAAACTTTGCAGAGAACTGCTTGAATACGTTTGAAAGTGATTACAGCAGCTTCATTTTCAAAAGAGATAATGATAATACATCATGGTTGGCAACATGACTGCCCCACCCTATCATTAGTAACGCCCTTCCATATACGGAAAATATGAAAAGCAAGAAAAACACTTTTGAATAAAACGCTTTACGCAGTTTGTTTTTCAATATCAAAGATAGCAAAGGAAGATTAATTGCTTCCATCGTCCTCCTTTGCGTCAAATTATAATATTAACGCACAAACAGCCAAAGCGCAATCTTTAAATATGCTCGACGCATCTTGTAAGCACGCCAGTCGAACTGAGATTCTTCAAGATTCATTTGTTTTATAGATACATAGTGTAGATTCACTCAATGCATTTTAAACTTGCCAGCTACTTCAACATTAATTTTTTATGAAATAAACTAATTTGCATTATGCCAAAAAATCTTGGCATTTAGCACCATCTGAAATAAATATGAATGTATTGACTGCACAAATTTCTTATGACTATAATGATTTGGATTGCTACTACAAATGAGATTATTATAACAGCAACACAGCCTAATAAACAAGTAGTATGCATCACAAATTATCTAATCAGTACAATTTAGACAGAATGTCAAAAACCAACAATTCATTTAAAAAAAGCTATGATATTCTAAAAAGCATTCCCATATTAAAAATACTGTTCACTTTTTTTTGTTTGTGCAGACTTACAATTATACAGTTAATTTTCTTGCGATCTTTCTTTCTAGTTTAACCTCCCCAAAAAATCAATAGTTGAACCTCTTTACAAATTAATAGAAGCTAATGTTCTCGTGTGAAATAAATTTACAAAGTCAATTGTTCGTTGTATATTTGTGCGTACACAAGACAAATGACATTGCAATCAGCGAAAGGACTTTTATATCAATATTTACATGTTTTATTTACAGAATTGAACTTAATCCAACATTAAATTTACTTTTCCCAGTCCACATAGCCGCTCCAGTTATTATAGAACTCAATGGTGAAGACCAACATGAACGAGCAACGTGCAGAAGTGCACTTGAGCCCGCGATATAACATAAAGGATAGAAATACTTCATAACTATTTAGACTATTTACCAAAATGAATATGCTGATATAAAAACTATTAGAGCGTTATTTACAACAGCCTTTACAGTTTGCCCAACTTTAATTCAAATTAACAACGTCCCTAACACTATTTGTGTAGTAAATATCCATATCGATTATGACAAGTTTAAACTTAATGATAACAGATTTTGTCTTTTACAAATTCATATGCGTTAAATAGTTGCTTTTATATGGTTCAAAAAGTTGCTTTTTGTCATTTTGTGATGCAGTCATAGAAACTTCATTATACTTATATTCATTTTCAGGTGAGATTGTCAGACGACAAATGGATTTTAGTTGGTGTCATTAGAATCAATGAAGGCTGTACCGCTAATTCCAAGTATTCATTGTTCACAAAAGTTGGTAAATTCTCGAAATGGATAGGCGATATTATTTCAAACAACTAACCTAATGCACGCCAACTAAATATCATGTAGCATCTGCAGTTGCTTACGATTTACAAAAACCATATAGAAATAGACACAACGATGTGTTTTATAACAAAGGCAAATATAATTATAAGTTAAATAGATGGAATGTTACTTAACAAAAAGAATGATAGCATAATGTTTTATCCAACAAATACAAAACGTAAAATGTTGCATTGTGGAATTTTTTATATGAATGTTTTGGTGCCTTAGATTTCCAAAAGATTTATTTCTAAAAAATAAATTACTTTAATTTAAAAGTCAAAATTAAAAGCGAGCTAATATCAATTATTTGCTAACTAAAACCGTTGAAACTGTTTTAAAAGAACAAATCTTTTCTCGGCCACTATTAATGCAGTCAGTCAGTTAGTCACTCGGTGGGTCGGTTAGTCGGTCGATCGGTTGGTTCGTCGGTCATGTAGTCATTGAGCTACAATTTTATCAGCTTTGTTGGTCAAGTTAATCACTTTTATGACAGAATAGTGAACAGTCACAAAATTCAAAACACAAAACAGAGCTTTATTTAGTGAACGAGAGTTGCTTTGGCTTTAGAAATGTAAAGTTCCCACTTTTTCATCAATTATTTTGTTAATGAAATTCAATGCCTTTTTCTACCTTAAGACTGGTTCTCACATAGTCGTCCGAGTTGTTTGGATAAAACTTTGCTCCATCCCGACGACCGAAACGACCGTTGAGAAATGCAAGCGACCTTGTTATGTCGCAAAACGATTTGAAGAAGCAAATAACTAGCCAAAAGACTTTGTCTTTGATAAACGGCAACTGCCATTACTGAATGTTTCTCGAAAAAAATAATTAAACAATCTCTCGGCAGCGCTAGTACGAATATATGAGAATTCCGTAGAATTTTGAAAAACAACAAAACAACTCGGAACGACTCGAATGACTCAAGCGACTTAATGAGAACTAGGCTTTAGTACATACATAATTTTGCACTTGAATATGCAAATACTGAAAGAAACCTGAGCAGTTATGTCTGTCGTGTTTAGGGCGCGGCGAATCATCAACATAACAGGTGGCTTTGTTGAGTTTAATATTGCTACAAGTATTCTTAGCATTTTAAGCGTTGCATACGGGCAAAAGTAAATTTATGTATAAAACATTGTTTAATGTTCATCAGCACGCCCATCTTAATCAGACGCTCTTTTCCCAAGTCATTTTTTAGGAGGAAGAATGTACAGGCAGGCGCGACGTTGGTAACACACAATTACTGAATTGTTGTTGAAAGCGTATGTAAAAATTAAATCTAAACATCTTCAAATCAGGTTTTCAGCGATATGCAATTATTGTGCTTAGCATTTCCTTTTCTATGTTTATGACGTTCTGCTTTCAAGCTTTTATTTTCATGTTATCATGTATTTTAGCGTAACGTTAACTTGTAGAAGTATTTTGTATTTAAATTGACTTACCATGCATATATTTTGACTAAGGATACATTCTATGCTGGTCTTGCTCGAAAGAATAACTCTCATTTACTTTTCTAGAAAATTAATTTCATTCATCGTTTTCTTACTTGGTGAACGCCAACTATATGCATGGCAAGAGTAAAAAGTCTGGTTTGTTTCGGCAAAATATTTTGTAGCTATGTAAATTTCACTGCATCTCAGTCTGTAGCTATATGATTTTTATAAAGTCATACATATATGTTATATTTTTTTGCACAGTTTTGTTGAGGTTTAACCATAATTATCAGATTATCAAACCTTGGTCTTAAAATAAGACCTTATAACAAGAAGCGACACTACTTTACAGATTTTAGTCACGCCGACAGTTGCTAGGAGCAAGTGATCGATGTTCTCAGGTCGTTACGTAAGAGAATGTTATAATATATATGAACAACCTGATCAAGACGAAAACTGTGAACGTTAAAAAATCTTTTTAAGGAGTATAAGTCTCTTTGAAAGTTAGTATAAAATGATTATATTTATCACCTATGTTACCCGAAGAAAAATAATGTACACTTACTTCGTGAACTTCTTAACTTGGGAAAAGAAATTTTCATATCTTTTTTGATTCCAAAATGCTGGCTCATAGAGCCTTTTTTCCTGAAAGCAACATCAAATTATTTTTTCGAACAAATAGCTATTATCTTATGTAGATTTCATATAATGCATATGTACAATTGTTTATACGGGCTCCGTTTCTTTTTGAGACACCCTGTATAATTGCACTCTATCAATGTATTTAAAAGTTCTACACGCGAATATGGATTTAAAATGTGTTTTTAAAACTTTTCTATTATGCTTTGCGTAGTTCTAAACATTAGACGAATGTATAACACATAAACCCATCTATTAATATTTAGTCAATATATTTTGCGGAGACGTCGCAAAACACAAAACGTGGTGTCTGTGATTTTTTGTGCTGTTCAAATGGGCACTTCTACAAGCAAAGTCTTCTACACCGATGAAACAAAACCATTGCACAAACACCAACTAAACCAAGTAATTGCCACTCACTATTACATAAAGGTAATTTCATTAACATCTGATGACGGCGAATCATTTAAGACTAAATTATGACATAATCAGCAAAGATTATAAATTTCAAATTTCATATACACTTTAAAAGACGTATATAAATAGCTCGTTAGAAAAAGACCAAAAACATGCAATAATTAAATGATGTAAGGATTCAAGTATATAATAATTGGCAAAAATTGATACACTCACAATGGTATAAAATTCAAAACAAATAGGCCCTTGCATTTTTTATTATTAAAACAGACGCCACAAGAAACCAGCAACTCGTCAGCCAAGGATTTCAAATTTCAGCATTTCACTGAACGTTGCCTCCAACTTCAAGGCCAAAAGCAAGACTTGGAATCCCAAATCAGAATGGAATTGGAAAAATGGCGCGGGAAACATTGTAAGGACGCCTCACGTGATGAGTGTAGGCAGAACATTATAGGCTTATTAAGTGAACTGAAGACATCTCAGCTCACTCAAGAAGAAATGATCACAAAAGAAAAGATCAGACTGGATGCATTTAGAAATTTAGTCAACGAAGACACTACAGAACGGCTGAAAGTAAGATTGAATTTTTTCTCACTGCTGAATAAAGAACACGACAAGCTTTTGTATCTCTTTCGAGAAGACTCGCGTGAATGCAAAGCTATTTGCAAGAAACATTCTGACGTACAGTTGAGGTGAGAATTGTCTATATTTTGAACTTGCAATTTCATAGTTTTTGCGTCTACGTTGCGTAGCAACCTAGACGCATTGTAGTTACTCGTAAAAATGTGTATGTCAGTTTCGGAAGAGTGACGTCAGTCGGCTTTTACCGGCTACGCATCGGAAACGTTCCGGCATCTTTCTCTTTGACTTTCGATCAATGTAAAATTAAGTTAAACGTCCAACGTTCGGCATTCGGTCCACAATCTAAATAGCACATGTTGATGATTCCTTTTGAGTAATAACATTCTTATCGTCGACTTGTCGTATATTTTGACTTGAGCTTTGAGTTTTGTTCATGTCTGTGTTACCAAAGCAAACTACCAAAGCGAATAAATCAAACAACAAAGCAAACGACCGAAGCAAACAACCTAAGCAAACTATTAAAAGCAATTAGCAAGTCAAACTGAACAAAGAGTTTCGATGTTATGCAAAGCATTTGTTGTAAAGTGTGTGATGAAAGGAATTTGTCTGATGTTGTTAGGCAATAGCGTGTTTGTTTCATTGTTGTTAAGAATGGCAAACGACGTTGAAGAAAACCCGGTCCGACAATATATGATTTAGTTGACCGTAATGAAACAATTGCTGCGGATTTTAAACAGGGAAATTCGAGAAAATTTCGACAAAATGCTGGTAAACAAAGTGTGGCCATGTCGTTGACTGCAATAATGCACACTGAACTAAAAATTTATAAATATATTAACCAATGGGAATAATCTTCATACTATTATAATAAACAAAGACTTTTTGCTATTAACTGATGTGCCAGAAATGGTATCAATTTGACGAGAAAGTCTATACGTTAAACCACAGCGACTCCTTCCCAGGTGATGTCTATATGACATTGGACAATGAACCATTTTGCCTTAACATTCTCAATTAAACTATCAGTATTGTTCATTAACTGTTGATTGTAGTAGAGTTGCTATTTTAAAAGGTTCTGAAGATAATTTTAAAATATTTGATTCACATTCAAAAGATTTATATGGCATATCACATCCCTATGGCAAGTGTGTACTTCTAACTGTTCAAGGTTTAGAAAACCTGTCACTCTATTTCCAAAATACTTTAGTCCATAACCGTTCAACTCCATATGAGGTAAACGGCATAATATTAAAAATAAGATTATGTTGATCAAACAGAGATTGTAGCCCAAACAGTATTGCTTTGAGTTCCAGACAATTAATGTGCGAGTCTTTTTCTGCGATTGACCATTTGCCTCAGGTGGACTGTTTGTTAATACATGCGCCCCATCCTTTGGTAGAGGCCTCCGTATACAATACGTGGTCAATGTTGCCGTGCTTCAGATGTTTTTTGGACTCATATGCACTATTTATCCACCAAGATACAACCTCCAGCACCGAAGTGAGAGTTTCAATGCTGCATCAAAATTACCCCGGTTAGACTTGAGAGCTGATGTTTTTTCCCTATCATGATGACGATAAAACAGTGGGCCACATTCAACGCCAGGAAAACAAGCTACCATCATACCAATTAACTTAGCCACTTCCCGTATGCTAGGAGAGTCAGATTTTAGCACTCTCGCAACCTCGCATTACTTGTAGTGTTTCTCTATAGATATAGAGATAGTCATATGTATTGAATTTAACACAAACTCTAAATGTTGTAAAATTTGCGTGGGTTCCGTAACAGATTTATCTTTATGGGGTAGGAATCCTAACTTCTGAAACAATTGTAGAGTGTCATGTACATTTTGCTCGCATTCTGTACAGGAGTAGCCCATTAAAAAAGAGTCATCAATGTAACCGCTAGAAATGTGCCCAAGCTCCCTCAGCTTAGAATACACAGGCTTTAGTATCTTTGTAAATAAACGTGGAGAGGAAGATAATCCTTGAGCAAGGCATGTGAATTGGTACAGATTACCTTTCCACATAAATTTTAAGTATTTTTGATGCTCTATGTGTATTGGTATTGAGTAATAGGCATCTCTAAGGTCAACGGAAGCCATGTAGCACCCAGGTCGCATGAGCTGAGTACAAATATGGATAGATTCCATTTTAAGGTGGTGATATGTTAAGAATGCGTTGAGCTCTTTTAGGTTTAATATCATTCTAAAAGATCCATCTTTCTTTGCTCTAAGAAAGACATTGGAGATTAACTCGCTCTATTCATGCATGCTTGTAACAATGATACCTTTCTTTAGAAATTTTGTAACTTGACGATCGACATTTTGGACTTCTTAAGGAGACATTTTTATAGAGTTGAGTTGTTTCAGCTGGACTGGGTCTAAAAAAATCAATCTTGTATCCGCCTACAGCTGATAAAATGGAAGGATCGTGAGTTAGCTCCCTCCACTTCCCAATAAATTGTTGTATCCAGCCAGCAACTATACTACAGTCATTGTCTCCCCCAGATATGATAGAAGTACTACACTCGCGTTTACTAAAATGTACATTGTCGAGAATAGGAGTCACTGCTTTCTTAGTGTTTCCCCCCCCTGTCTCGACTTTCCACTTGTGTTGGTTTTGATAATAGTTGCGTCGTTGGGGTCGGCTTTAAAAATGACCGCCAAAATGCTGGTCAGGATTTTAGAAATTTTAGTTGGCAATAGTTGGTCTGTCAATTCATTTTCAGTCACTTCGTGAATCAGCTCATCTACAAAAGCATCGCTTTGGTTTGCTAGAGCTGGAGCTGTATCTGCATCGCAACTACAGCAGCAGCCCCATTGGTTGAGTGTTCGTCATCAGTTTCACCTTCAGACATATTAACATCATCGTTCATTTAGCGTGCAGCATCATAAGCCTGCTTCAAGCCATTAAGTTGATCAACTTTCCTTTTAAGGTCATCCAAAATAGTTTTACTGTCATTTCCTTCTTCTAGGAGATTGTTGCTGTTGGCTTTAGCAGGGTGTTTACACCCGGCAAGGCCAGATTTGCTCATTCTCCCTTGTAGACGAGACTGTTTCTGTTCCGGTTCATCGTCTACATTCACGTCTCCTAATAAGCCCGACAGAGTCGGATTAGGATGGTTATGCAAGAGCGTCAAGTCGTCTGCTTGCTCAATTGCTTCCCTGACTTGTGCCATTTGTTGTTGAATAGATTATCTAATAACAGAAAAAGAGTTTGCCGTGCAAACTCAGTGGTAATGCAGGTGTTTTGTCCTGTATTGAGCTAAATTCTGAATGTATGAAGTATGAAGCTAGATTCTGAATCATTACGTCAGACTAATTTTATTTTTCACACGATGTGTTTTTAATGTTTTAGGAAAAGAACTGGAAGCAAATTTGAATCTTGGCTCCGTTGTCCACCGTGTACCTCATATGATTATGGAAGTGTTGGAAGCATTTAATTAAAATGTTTGCATTCCACTTTTATACATGTTAATGAGAAAGAATAAAAAATAGAAAATTTACATCAACATTTTATGATTGGGTTTATCAAACTTTTGTTTAACATCTCAAATATTTCAGGAATTTTCGACTATATCTCAAAGCCATCTTTAGACAGCAAGGGAGGTTTCGAAATGAAGATGGCTTCCAAATAAAGTGGAAAAATTACAATTTTATTTTCGACTTGTTTTGATACATATTGTTTTATCTCAAGATGTCTAGGTTTTTTTTCGCAATTAGTTTCTTACTTTACTGGAGATACTGGTCAAGATCTTTTTCCTTTTCTTGGAGAAGTTGATAATGAGATTAAAAGTAAGAACTTCTGTTACTTAAAACTCTAACAATATCAAGAAGTTTGTTATATGACCATTTATACAAGTTTTTTTGAATAGATTTTCATTACGCACGATGGTTTATGAGCAATAATATTTACAAGATTTTAAGCATTATTCGCTACATACCTTTTGACCCGCTACATAAAGTATCGAAGTGAAAAATACAAAATCGTTTTATATCTTCAGGAGTTGTCTATCTGTTGTCGTAACACACCGTGGCTTTGTAGCAATCGTGTGTCACAGCAACCACAAGCTTCATACTGCGCTTAGCGGGCTTGTCTTTCATGTATTGCCTTACTCCTGATCATGGTATAATGACTGCGTCCCACATTATGCTGCAATATCTACGGAACCTGCACACGGAACCATCATATACAAGGCCAACGTATATCTGCAAAGCTATGATGCTTTAGTTCCATTACGCAAAGGCCAGGCCAAAGTCCATCCTTATCTATATATAAAATTATTCGTCCTTGGCCTGCACAAATGTCTGCTTATGGATTTTTGAGACAACATATTTTTTGAAACATATCCTAATTGAAAAAAGATGGGAGAATTCTAATTCACTATTAATGCTTAGCAGGAAACACTGCTGGACTACCTGATGGACGGGATGATTTAATTGGTGGTTGTGGTGTGCTGTGGGCATTAATAATCATTTGAACTGCAGTGCAGATCATTCTGAATTTATGTAACTAATAGGAGTTTAACGAACATTACTGATTCTTATAACTTTTCAAATTTTCAAACGAATATTTACAAATTTTTCATGCTCCATTTCAAATTTCGATTAAATTTTAAACATTAAGCCATTAAATATTGTTGCATTCCAATCGATCTAATCTAGTAGCTTGCCCTTTTCATTTCTTGCTCGTTACTAGTCTCTTAAAAGTCAATTTTTGCTCTTGCTATTACTAACTTACGGTGTCACAGAAGTTGGAAAAAAACTGGCTTATTTTTGTTGAAATTTTGGCATAATTGATTTATTCCATTTGGCAGCCCTGCTCCGGGGCGAGATGGGCGGGACTTTTCCTGGCTACGCCCACTTAGCTGTATAGTAATTACCTGGACGAGAAATCATCATCCAAATTATTATATTTTACTAACACGTGGCCGGTTATCAAAAACATGGCTGATTTTGGTTGAAGGTGTCAGCGGAAGAGCGCGGGCTCTCAAAACTAAAACTTTTTTGGCCACCCGGATTTTTATCCAAAATTCATCTATATAAAAATCGTCACATTACCATACATAAATGGAGCATCAGAAATGGCTGCCAGACTTCTTCGACCATTTAATATTAACGTCGCCCACAAACCTACACAAAACTCAAATCATGTTTCACCAAACATAAAGACAAAATAACAATTCATGATACAACTGACGCCATCTACATGATACCATGTAAAGACTGTTCAAAGCAATACATAAGGTAAACATCAAAGAAAATTGAAACAAGACTCACAGAACACAAAACGCCATAAAACGACGAGATCCGAACTCACTACCGGCAGAACATACCCACGGAAACAACCATACATTCGGCTGTAGAAAGTACTCGGACGCGCACAGACTAAACACGCACGCGATTTTAAAGAAGCTTGGTACAGTAAAGACAACGACACAATAAACAGACATATCGACATACCCATCATATACCCACAACTAAAGAAAAAGTACAAAAAAACTATAAACAACACCAAAACTAAAACACTACACTCTAATATTATTAACACCAATCATATTCACAATACACCAAAACCCATGGCAACGCATTTCACCCCATCCAATCACATTAATCCACCCACTAATCCAATTAGACGCTCTAAACGTCTTCAAGCTAAAAGCACTTGTTAATAAATAACCTCATTCTGATGAAGGCTCGAAGCAACGAGTCGAAAGCTCAATAAAAATCACTTAAAATCCGGAGAAACTTTTATCTTTTATGTATAATATATCTATATACGATAATAGAAAATTTCCAAGCTTTTTTTCCTATCAAAAACTTTTTACAATTTCCTCGATGAAATGTGTTGCAAACTTGTGTAGTATACGAATGTCGAAGTATTACAAGAAAAGAAAATATTTCATGACATGGGTAAGCAAGGTAATATTGTTTGTCATTCAAAGAGTATGGTTAAATTGCTGTTTGTCAATACTTGTCGTGTGATAGCATTTGGCACGTATTTTGTCAATGTTTTTTACTACCTAATCGTACTTTAAACAGTGTTTTCCCAATAATTTTAGCAACCAATTCTTTTCGAGCTATACATGTCTTGCAATCAAGAGAGCTCACCTATAATTAATAAGGATTTATTTATGAAAGAATGTTTTTTATGCATTTAATGTCATTTAATTAAGGATATGTTTATAATATTTTTCTGAACGTATGATGGTTAGTTAAGAATAGAGTTGGATTGAAATTGAACAATATTTGTGTTGAAAACACTGTGATAAATGAAGCATGTTGTGTGGTGTAGGCAGCCTGAAATTTGTTCATGCTATGTAATATTTTGGTGTTTTACTTTTTGTAAAAAATACATTTCTAAAGAAATGAATAATGCTAATGGTGAAAAATTTACGTAGCATAAACAAATTTTCAAGTTGGCTATGCCATTGCTCTAAGTAGGTTGGTACACCAAAGTTATGATAAAAGAATTGCTCTGAGCCAAGATTTGTTTAAAATGTTTCCATCTTTATTCAAGAAAACCCTATGATTTCGTGCATGCAAAGTTTAATTTGCATTGCCTCATCTGATAACAATCTACACTTGGTATAGTCTTAGGTCATCCAGTATCCACTTGAGATGCATTAGGTGCAATGAAGTCGAAGACAAGCAAAAAGAGGGAGAAGAGCCGGGAGTGCATTTGAAAGCTTTTTGAAATTTTATGTTGAGTTTTGGTTGTCTTAATATGTATTAGAGCACCATTGTTAAAATTCTGCGATAAATCTCTGATAAGAACCTCTATATGTTTGATGAAAATGAAGTAGAAATAAGTAAAATGTAACTATATGAACATAGCTAAGAGATAAATCAGTTTATAGATAACCAAAATACGATGAATTATGATGAAATATGATCAAAATGTCATCTGTGGTATGGAAAAACCGTGGAAAATAGCCCACAACTGCATGGAATTACCTAGACTTGTTGGAATCGTAGTTCAGAAGTACAAACTGATTAAATAATCACATTTACTATCATAAACTGTTCAATCCTTTAAAATTACAAGCCTTTTTTAGGAGTGATTTGTAATGAAACCTTTATGCGTTTTGTTTTATACGGCCGATTATTCTTTCTGACTCGCTCTACTATTGCCACAAAGGTTGTTTTCATCTTCTGCCTTAAATTAAAGCAAAATTTTACCATGTGTTGCAATATTTTCTATAGTTTTGTTAGAAAGACTTTCTGTGTGCTGGTCTCTGCTGGTCATGGCGGCGGTGGCTTCAAAATTTGTTTACTACAAATATAAAGTTGCTTGATCCAGTCTTTTTTGAAATCAGTGATTTTCATCCAAAAATTCCTATTCGCCGCCATGTTTTAGATAACCGATTTCAGGCCCTTTTCCCTCCATGTAATTTAATAGAACTCAATGGCTACGCCACTCTGCTCGACTCAAAGAACTTTTTTACATTTTAAGGTGTCTTACAATATATACCATTGAGTTCTATAATAACTGGAGAGGCTTAGTGGACTGGGGGGATGATGCCAAAAACATGGATGCGAATTGACCTATTTTTGCTGAAATGTTCGCTTTGCAGAGAAAAATTATTCTCGACCTCCCCCTGCTGTCTAGAGTAAATTATAGAGAATTTAAAAACATGATATCTCTTTTGCTATTCCTTTTATAATGCCAACACTTTAATCGTTCAATTGTTGAATATCGTAGTGTGCACAAAATGGAACATCTTGCTTTCACATGTAAGATGTTTGCTTGTTTTATTTGTTCATCAAAGATTTAAAAGCAATTATATACACTTAAAAAAGCTGTAAAATCTAAAAACATTGACTTGCCTACCAAATATACTGATACCTGTTTTTGGTTATGAAATTCAATAATTTTACCCATCCATTTGGAAAATTGTTTCCCTGATGCCAAAATAGAGACTGTACACTTTACTAAGTGGATAGATAACATGAAAAAGCTGCCACCTCAAACAATAACCAGAAAAACAAGCATAAAATGGAGTAGAATTTGATCTGCTCAATTTGTTGACAACATGAAGAGATGATCAGGTTGCAAAGTTTTCTGTAATGGTGCAGTATCAACACTATTTCAAGTTGAATCTCATGTCGTTGTCGCTGCAAGTTTGTCTTCAAGGCATTTATGCAAGTAACAGTTGTTTGTGTCGTTATTGAAGGCTTCTTTAATGAAGTTGCTACTTGTTCACACACGCTGAAGATATTCTGCGCAAAACCTAAACCAAAGTACGAGGAAAACTTCTTCAATCGGCTAGCCATACCTGATGCTGTGTCACGAACGGTGGACTTGCAAGATTCTTTGTCAATGCTAAGTAATGCAGAGTAGAGGGCCTCATAATTGTGCAAGACAGCCGAGATGGCTTTGGTTCCTACTGTCCATCGAGTTGGACACAGCAAATGCGGATTCGCAACTTGCGTGCCGCTGTCTTCAATCTCTTTGGCAATATGCTGGTATTGCACTATTCGTGTTGGTGAAGATCGAATAAACACGGCCAGCTCTTGCACCTCCTTCAACGTATCGCTGATAATCCAGCTCTCCTTTACACAGTCACGCAAAGCCAAGTTAAGAATGTGGTTACCGCAATGAATGTACAGGGCGTGAGGATTCTCAGAAGATATTCCGGCAGCAACCCCACTTCTGCCTCCAGCCATATTTGCTGCTCCATCATTTGTTTGCCATTGACAGTCGTCTATCGTCAAACTGCATCGCAACAAAATGTCCTTCAGCGAAGTGGTGATTGTTTCAGCATCGGTTTTCTCTAGCTCGTACATTCCGAGGAAATCTTCGTGGACGGACAAGTCAGTTCTAGATATCCAGCGCAAAACACATTTTAGTTGTTCCTTGTTGCTTATGTCTCTAGACTCGTCTGCAAATAGGCTAAATAATTGTGATTCCTTACGGATGTCTGCCACTATAGATCTCAGGACTGCATTGCCCATCATATTAATCAACTCGTTTATGATGTCTTGACTGAGATATCTTCCGTTTTCAATCCACTCCAACAAATCAGGTACATCCTCTGCTCTTAATTTTAGCAACTGTTGCAAGTTACTCTCAAGTTCAGTTTTACCTTGCAAACTTTGGGCTTGGCGTGCCAAATACCTTATACTACTTAGTTGTTTTTGCAACATTCTTCTTCGAGTTTCCTGGGTTTTCTTCAATTCACTAAACAATATAGCTGCAATATCTCTTCGCGAATCATCAGATAATAAAACTTTCTCAGTCGCCTCTGCGTGAAATTTAGACTGAGAGTGTTTTTTAGGTTTTTCTCTGCACTTCTTCCAGTCGCTGAATTCTCCTAGGAGAAAAGCCTTTTCATCATTATGACTGAAAGTAATAAGGTCTTGACGCATCGCTCTTTTACAGAAGTAACAGGCAATGGTGCCTTTTGTCATGCAGTATGTGACCCATGTATATTTCAAAAATATAGAAGACGGACAAGTTCGTACATTCGACGATCCTCCTGTACTGGTTTGCTTTCTAGACGTGTGATGTATTTCTTCTAGGGTAGGATGGTAAGGCTGTCGGCCTGTACAGCACAAACGCTTACAATCGAGTCCTAGCAAAATTTCCGTTGACTCAATTTGCATAGGTCCTACCAATAGGGCGGTAGTCGTGGAACTAGGCATACGTTAGGTTTTGAGAAAGTGTGTGAACTGGCTCGGTCGGCGGCGCGACTAGTATCTCTGAAGACGATGTAGAGTCAGAATCGCCGAATTTTGGTTTGGAATGAGAATGAGGAGATAAACACGTTGACGGAGTTTCTGTAGCTGACGGCAGTGTCAAATTAGACCTAGAGTCGATGTTTTGGTCAACAACGTTCTCTGCTGGAGCACTACTAAAAAAACTCGTCAGTTTTCGCATCCTTTTAGCTGTTTCTACAAGCTCTTTTTCCTTTTCTCGTTTTCGCCTAGCAGCTCTAGGCATGATGATTTTGATTAGAAGTGATTTAAACCGCAAAATTTTCAATTATTATGATTATGAATTGTCAACAGTTTTGTAGGACCAATGGCCTGAAAGACAATACGACGGGAGCAATGCAATGCCGTAGAATTTATAGTCTCATGTGGATCAATAATTGCGAATTCTCATTGGTTGATTAAGTTACTGGGCGGACGTCTGCGAAGATCGACAAACGCAATTTTTGATCCATCTGGGTAATCAAGATCAAAAACTAAGCTATAGCTGATTTCGCGTGATGCCGACAGACTTTGTTCTACTCTCAAGGCTACTTGTATCTAAGAAAAACTTCTTCAGTCCAATTTTACCTAAAACAAGGGCATTTCTATACCATGAAAAAGGGCACTTTCATTCCAGAAAAAGGGCACATTTTTACCTGTTGCAAAAAGTGTGGGGGGGGGGCACTTGACACCAATGCCCCCCAGTTCCGCGGCCACTGATTTCAACATTATTTCAAGAGTTGTTTGATCATGGTCTAGTTTTATGGATGGAAATAGTTGACTTACTAAAGATGCCTTGAATACTTTGAAAGAAAAATTAATCGTATCAAAGAAAGGTGACAAGACAAGATGGTTGTAAGTGCTTGGGTACTTGATAAAATGTCAATTCACACAACTGTAAAATGGTCATTAAGATTGTGTTTAATTATGTGGATATTAATATTGAGATTGACGGTTGATGACTCACTTTTTGGTCAAATAATGTCATATCTTTATTAAAATATTTCAATAGAGTGTTGTTTAAATGCTACTAATATCTAATGAATGCTATATTGAAGCATTAAAGAAAACTTCAAAGTTGTAGTACTATATATTTCTTCCCAATTTCAGTTTTTGCTTTAACTGACATTTTGAGCTATTTACCTATTATAGCACAGAATAGACATGTATCTCTTGCTTTATTTCCTGCTTTTTCAAAACTGGAAAACTTTTGAATTTTCAAGTGTTCCTTCAATTTCCTGCTTCGTAAGTCTGTTCATGATATGGATGAGATACAGGTAGTATAATTTAATATCTTTATAATTTCCGAAAAATCTTTAAGCTTCTAGCATAAAAGTATAGCAAATGTGCTTAGTTCATTTGGCGCTTTTGCCAAAATATTTTTTATCCAATCTACACACACTTCATCATTCTTGTATTGACAAAACCAGATGTTAGATATTCACATGAAAAAAATCTAATAGCCACTGGTGTTTAATTTGGTCATGAGATTTATTATTGAGATGAAAGCTGTATTGATCATTCAAATTGTGCACTTCTATTGCAAAGTGCACTTATATTGAAAAACATAAAACAGAGAAAAAGATAAGAAGAAACATTAAAAACACAATTTTAAATTCACAAGCTTCAAATATAATTTTAATTACCATTGTAATGCAAGTCACAAGTGTTTTAATGATTATTTGCATTTTGTCCATTTCAAATATCAATACAACAAAATCAAAATGTGCAGCAATTTAACAAGTTTTTGAGGCATTTCCAGTCCAGGAGATCATAAAAATCTTAAAGGTTACTGGGTGATTTGTATACAATATTTATTTTCATTTATCAATGACATTTACCCATCATCTCTTATGCTAACTTGAGTCTTTTCGAAAGTTAAATGAAAACGAATCACACAAAATCATAGATATTGAGTAAAGCAGTAACTTTCCAACCATTTATTCATTTATACATAATGGCATGCATGTACAAGTAAAAATCATACAATTGCGCCATTACATGAAACAAGGAAAAAAGTAATGAGAATAAATGACTCAGAATGAGCTAGCTCTTTTCACGACAGCCGTATAGATAAACCATGATGTACTTTTTCTTTGTATAAACCGTTAAGTTTAATCGGGCAAACAAGTTTGAATGTTTACTTCGCTGCGTCGCGCGTCTGCATTGATATGTAGCCGACAGAAAGGTCCTTTGTCGATAGTTATAAAACGCATCCTCGTAGAAGCCGACAACTAGCAACCACACTTGACTCGCTGTAATGAATTTCAGTTTTTTACCTCGATTTTCATCATATATTTGCTTTTCAAATGCCAAATACGAAAATATTTTTTTCTCACTCTTTCTTCTGGGGGAAGTGAAAAATTGCAAAATTTTCTGCAAAGCAGTCATTATCGGTAAATCTCGGCGAAAATAGGTCAATTCCTCCATTTTTTGGCGTCATCCGATATCTAAAGCCGCGCTCGAGATAGCCGCTCAACCATTTACTTTATAGCCGCTCAAGTTATTATAGAACTCAATGATATATACGAGTGATTTACTAAATAATTTGTATAAAAATAGACATAAACCGTCACAGGGTCATTTCGGATATTTGTACGTTTTGCAAGTACGTCATCCTCAATCTCTTCAATTATGTAATCTTGTATTTCTATCGCGATAGCACTTCCGCCGTGACCCGTGGAGTTCTATTTATTTCCGTGAAGTTTTGTTTATTGCCGTGGAGTTTTGTTTATTGCCGTGAAGTTTTGTTTATTGCCGTGGAGTTTTGTTTATCGCCGTGACACTTGTGGGCCACCCTATCGAAGTCTATCGTTGACATTATTATTTATTATGATACATAATCACTAATCATGATTCATAACACAGACCGTAATACCGCAAGCGCCCCCCCTGGGATGTGCTGATATTGTGATGTAAATATCTATGTAGACGATGTTAATGTAAAACAAGAAGTATTGCTATGGTTGAAATTTCACAAAGAAGAAGCGAAATAGGTACACTCTTTGAAATACATTAGTTGAATCTGACCGTAAGTTATGCTGTATATGTTGTACTATGACTGGTTCCCTTGAAAAAGCAACGTTTGTTTATCAATCAATTAAGCATAGTCATAATGTAGAATTCATTCATTTGCTAACAGCTTATCCATTTCTTCTTTTTGGCGCAATCCTCTGACAAATTGATTAAACGAGGGATTTTTCATGCCTTCGCTAAAACTGAAGAATTTTTTAGAATTTTCTGGTCATTCAACCATCATAAATAAATAAAACCGTTAGCGTAGCCATGTCGTTCATTGTCTATACGTATTTTATCTTGTCATTCTTGTGGACTGCTTTTGACGACGACAAACTCGTTTACCTTGGAAATGGCACTTCAAACGATGCTAATTTTATTCATAGAGCATCTTGTTTATGGTAAACGCATAAGTTAGATTTCACGAGCTTGTCAAACATTGGAAGGTTATAACTAACATATGTATAATTCTCATATGATGGTTGAATCATTTCATAGCAATAGATATAGGTAGGCAATTTGTGTAAATCAAATGGAGAGCAATACCAGTCATGATAAATGTTGACTAAATCAAAAGTATACTGTTAGACATTCCCCCTTATTCTAAAGCTTACTCACTCGCACTTAAATTGAGTGGGAAAATGACCAACGTAATAATAAATGTCCGATTTTATGCTTAAGGCGAGTAACACGTCTAAACGAACTATACGTCTAACCAACCGTCAACTAATCTACTCAGGTTAACTGCTTTAATTCGTTTGTCAAGACGAATTAAACTCTAAAGATGTGTGGTCTTCACACCAATGAGTGCTTCATTTTCGATATTTTAACAAACATCCTGCCATTAATGGAGAAATAACTTTATCTCTGATTAGTGGGAACTCAGTGATTGTGAGTTTGAGTGATCTTTTAGAATACGGGCGAGTATCGATAAGTATTTACATAATAGTTTGACGTGTCTAAAGTGACTTTGTTCAACCATGAACTTTTCATTGCACCATGCAGCGCAGACATAAAACAAGGAAAGTACAGGAACGATGGGAATTTAGTGTACTTCTTATCTCACAGCTAGCCTGTATTGTACTTGCCCTCTCAACGGACTCATTCACATGTTGATAATATTGCTGTTTTGGCAAATGTTTCTTGACTTGGTAAACATGCATTCAATTTCCTGTTCGTCAAGAAGCAAATGCCATTGAAGGAGAAAGATTAAATATATAGTTATGATAAAGCAAATTATATTTGTATAAAGTAAATGGTTTGAACTCAGGAGTATCGTTAGATGTTTGTAGATGTAGATCGTTCAGGTTAGCAAAGGCCTGAGAAGGAATGTTTTTGTTGTTGTTGACTGACGTTTCGACAACCCTAGCGTTAGTCATCTTCAGAGTCAAATTTTGCCCATTTCACACATTTCCTGTACGTAAGAACCAGATAACAAAATATGGCTAACCTGACGTTTACGCCTCATTTGACTCTGAAGATGATTACCGCTAAGGTTGTCGAAACGTCAGTCAACAACAACAAAAACAGTCCTTCTCAAGACTATACTAACCTGGACGATCTACATCTACAAACTTATAATTGTATAATTTGTAATTCTTAGAAGCTCTTCAAAACGAAACGAAACAAATGTTCAAAACATAGAAAATTTAAACTACACTAATAAATTTCTGTGGCTGCAGAGGACACCTGTGATATATGCATCGTGTTTATGCATATATCACAGGTGTCCTCTGCAGGTGTCCTCTGTCTCGCGTTATACTTTGCCACTCCTATTTTTATAAAACAACGCTCATTTTTCAACTGAAACACTTCGATAAATGCAGACAAATCATGAATTGCAAATTTAGGGACCTCAAGAATGTATACATTTATGTCAGAGCTCTAGTCAAGTGATTTAAGATAAGCAGGTGATATGGCCAAAATGTAATTTATATTTAAAACTTGAAACGTCATATTATTTTGCTTTGTAATGTTCTCACAAAGAGCAATATTTATAAGTGCGACGATATTGCTTGCGGATAACTACGCTTCCTTCCCTCCATTGTTTGTTTTATTAAATTTAATATGCTAACAAACAAATGACGAAAATCTCAATATGGCCATACGAATTTCTTAGTGTGGTTTCAACTTTTTGTTTTTGGGAGCACTTCACCTCGTTTATTAAGTTTCAAAGAACTGTTGATAATTACAAGCTACTTAAAGTATGTAAGAAATTGATGCAATTCTGGTTCAAAATTTGCTCTTTCAATGTCATTTGTTTTACAAATATGTGCTGATCGGGAAATAAAATGCGCTTACTAGCATGCATGCTCAACGTTTTCAGTTTCAAAAGTGAAGTCAATTGTTCAAACGGATTATAGATATTTGAATATTTGACAAGTAATATATAAATATGTCAAATAATCAATCTTTCGCCGCACATTTGTGCTAGTATGGGTAGCTACTTAATCATCCTAAGTTCAATCTAACACGAAAAACTAACAGAAATTTCAGTATTCGAAAAGAGTATTAAGTTTTTTCGTAAATGCATCGAAGTACATCTAATGGGGCTATCTGTAAAACAAGGAATGGGGAATTGGGAGTGGAATAGAGGAATGGGAAAACCGGAATGAGAAAAGCTGAAATCTGTAAAACCAGGAATGTGAGAAACTCAATGTCATTTATTATAACTTAGGTATACAACAACGAAATAATGTTAGCCTTTTGACTCTACGTTTCGACGTATGATTGCAACCATATACTAACATGACTCACTTAGACTTACCAGTTACTCAATTGGTTTCAAGTACTAAAGACCAAGACCAAGACAATTTCAAAAACATCAGAGTCCCGAATAAGGGTTTGTAATTGGGTTTTATTTTGTTCTTTCGATATTGTATGTAGAGTTTTGACAGTTGACATGCATCATTGGCGTATCATGTAATGTAACACCATATTAAGGGGCTGATTACATGTGCCCGGGTAGCCGGGATTCAGTCAAGCGATAAATGATTTGGGCAAATGGAAACGATTCAAACTCATCATCTGATAAATCTTCTCTGGCAATTTCACGATAACTACACAAAACATTTAAAATTATAACAACAAATTTGGCCTAATTTGAGGATTACAACAGGAATGACTTGTGGTTCTTAATAAGGAGTTGTAATATTTACGCTTGAAGTTTTCACTCCTTTCAATACCTTGAAATCATTTCATGCCTCACTGAAACTCGGTTAGCCGGGATCATGTAAACAGCCCTTAAGTATAATTAATATGGATATTCAAACTTCCTATAAAAGTGTAAACCATATTATGGAATAAGCCTTGTTTAAAGAAACTTGAAGAAATATCGTATAACTAATGCCTTCTGCGATCGTATTTATACAATAGGATTTAGAATTATAAGATGTGTTTTTCTCTCAAAACTTCCGCTTAGTGCCTAAGGCATGTCTACTTAAACTCCACGAGTAATCGAGTTATTTTTAGTGGTAAAATACCTAGCACGATAGGCCTAGTTTAGTAAGTGGAATTGAACTGACAGAAAGCATCGTCTATCATAAACGGTAGAAACTGATTATATAATCGGAAGTCTACCTTCGCGTAAACATTTCACTTCTTGCATGAACTCAGTTATTCAAATTTCATCTCAAGTCACTCAAGTGTGAATAGTTTTCACAGCAAGCAAGCACAGTGGCAAGTAAAGAATACTTGTAAGGTACATTTAGCTGAATTATATAGCGTGTGTTTTGCCATATTTTTGCTCGAAGTTTTGCTCATATTTTTGCATAAGTACCTTGAAGCTTAACATTTCTTAAATATAAATTGTCTACTTTATTTTGAACGAATTCGTATCAAGAATTCATATCATCGCAGAGACTGCAAACACAGGTTTTCTCATTCATTACGGGTTTTAATTCCAGCTTTTCTTATTCCGGTTTCTACAGATTCCAGCTTTTCTCATTCCGGTTTTACAGATTCCAGCTTTTCACATTCCGGGTTTTAGAGACTCCAGTTTTTCTGGTTCCGGGTTTTGCAGATTCCAGCTTTTCTCATTCTGGGTTTTACAGACTCCAGCTTTTCTCATTCCGGGTTTTGCAGACTCCAGCTTTTCTCATTCTGGGTTTTGCAGAATCCAGCTTTTCTCATTCTGGATTTTCCTATACCTCTATTCCATTCGTTGTTTTACAAATAACCATATATTGGAAAACGAAGTAAGCATGCAAGTGGACTTCTAGATTTGCTACTAGCAGTAAAGAGGCAAAATCTCTGTATGAAATGTATAATAGCTAGCAAATAAGTAAAACTGTGACTTTAGTTTGCAAACATGCATGACAATAGCTATGTAAAAATAGATTTTGTTTTTATGTCAAGTTTATAGAAGCGAAAAAAACCTTAGATATAAACATTTCCTTCTACAACCTCTAATGAATATGGAATTAGTTAATGCCCGCGAGCCCTACTTAAAACGGGTGAATACGGCTCCTTCTGTTGTTGGGCTAGAGTAACGTATATATTGGTTCATTGTAGTGCAATTGCACAATAATTTCCTTTTCCTTGTTCAATTTTAGTATGTATTAAAAGTACTGATGGTTGGTTAACGAATGATTAATGTTCTCAACTTGTTTCTCAGAATGCAGCACAGGAAGTGGAATTAATAATGGCAAGTGAGTGTATAGCATTGTGAGTGTTTCAGTTCACGGCAAAGTGAGCTACCCTGGCAAAAATATAGTAATTATTTGATCTACTCTCATTATATATAGAGCAATTGATATGAGTGATAATTAGCTATGGTTACTTATACTTCCATGAATAGCGATATTTATAATATTTCTTTCAGTGAAAATTACAACCTTCATATTATATGGTGAGCTTTTGCAACTGCAGCACCGTAACTGCTATGAGCTCTCGGTGAGCAGAGCCACGCGTCCCCAAGCAATCACCATGCAAAGGAACACTCTGAACGGTGTTATTTATGAATATAACGATAGTAAACGAGGCTTATATTTGAGCAAATGGAAGCACTGAGTATTTTTCATTGAAGATTATTCGTGAATTTGTGTTCCTGATAGTAACTTAAAAGTTATAATTTTTATTTTTCTATATAGAAATAAAAAACCCTTTAATATTGTATTCTTTTTCAAGTAAATTTTCATTATCAACTTGGCGTTAGGGGAGGAGGAACCCAGTCCTTGAAGGGCCATGGCAGCCTGGTTCAAACTCACGCCATTCGCAACTGCCTATGTATTCTAAAAGATAAATCGTTCTTGATTTCATATCTAGCAAGCCTCAACGTTACAATGGAGAGTATTGTTCCAAAAGATAGTCTTCTCTTGGATATTGCCGAAAAGATTGGTTCCCAGTGGAAAGATCTTGGTAGAAAGTTGGAGATATTAGAAGAAACATTAAGCAATATAAGCCATAATTATAACAAAGTGGAAGAAATGGCAAATGAAATGCTTTTAACGTGGAGGAGAAGCAAAGGAAAAAATGCAGCGGTTAAAATGTTAGTTGACAATTTGATCGAAATTGGCCGTCGAGATGTCGGAGAATATTTACAAGGTAGCAACGACTTTGCCAAAAAAGATGGGGGGAAAAACTGTTCTCATTCAAAAAATCTGCCCCATGCCTTGTTGGTAGTGAAAATATATCTATTTATGTGTCATCAGTCCTTTTCTTGCATTCTGTTAGTGTAGACTCGCCTTCATTTAAACTGCTGATGACTATTTTCTTATAATAAGTTGGTTTTTTCCTGAAATAGGAAAATGATTTTTTGCTGTTTATTATCATATGTTATTACATGGGTGCCTCTGGATCTTTTGTTATCACAGGGACGTTCACTACCGCATTTCCCTCGTCAATATATTCATTAGGGACGATTAGGCTAAATATCCCTAATCAATAAAACAATACGCCATATTTGTTTTCAAATTTTAGGCTGCGTTTACACTATACCGGATTTGCTGATCACGACATCTTCATTTGCTTTAAAGGGGTAACTGTACGGAGTAAAAGCGTATTAAGTTGATAGATTTAGTCTATCTGATTTAGTATTTCTTACGTTGAACAATTTCACTGCCTTTTAATATAAAGTTTATTCAACCTGCTACGATAGCAATCCGGTATTGTGTAAACGGGGCTTTATTTTCGTCATGTAGAAATTGCTTCAGCTAAATTGTTCAATTTTCCACGGTCGGATCATTCTCAATTCTGCTAAATGAAGAAGGCTACTAGCATGATGTCTTCGGCAAGTCCTTTGAAACGACAATACTTCAAAGGCAAGTTTACCTACTCGAAAGTCCTCATACTCGACTGTTGTTACATCGTTAATTATTCAGATTCAGACACGAGTAACGGAGTGAATCTTTCGTTCTATTATTCAAAATCACCAAACTTGCCTTATCAAAAGCCTTAATGCCTCACAATTTATGTCGTTGAGTGTAACAGAAATCGTCTTTCCATTTCTTCAGAAACTTTTTTGTCACTAACTTGGGAAAACCATCAATAACTTCAACAATAATGAAAAAACAAAATGTATTTGAAAAGCAAATTTATACATAGGTTCACTGAACCAATTCAAAAACAGAATTCACAATTAAATAGCTAGATGGCTTCTTTGTTCAATCACTGACCGTGAACAATGTCCGCTTTAAACACTATCAATTGCTGTCAATTTCGAATAAGTGAACTCAAAGTGTGATAAAATTATTGTCAAACGAAAGAGTATAATGCATTGATTATTCCTTCCGCAACCATGTTATTACAAAGTAAACGCATTTTTTAGAGATATTAGTAAATGCCTTCTTAAGCCTCGAGAGGTTTAGTAAAAGTCCCTCGTGCTGCACCATCGTACTTTTACTAAACCCAGCTCCCTCATTTTGCAGGACAATTAATCACTAATATCCCTGAAAGCATGCGTTTACTTACAATAAGTAGTTATAAATAATGAACGCATCTTCAAGCATTTTGTTGTCTACAATAAACCTGTTAAAAGTGAGTTAAGAGAAGCTAGCAAAATTTTGGCATCCTGGGAGTTTCAACAATAGTGAAACCAAATATATTTTGAAAGCAGACTTTTGCTGAAGAGAATCAATATTTTTTACACTAACATCTCTTCATCCCAATTATAACGACGATATATTCTCCATTCATCGAAAACATACATTTTACATGTTGATGCATGAACACGTACATTAAAAGCTATGTAAAATATGGCCACAGAAGTTCTTGTATCTGCTTTTTAATGCATTCCTTAAAACTGATTTGTTCAACATCAAATTTAATCGCATTTGCATAGTGAAATGTTTTTCATCAAAAAATGTTTCACCGACTTAATTAAAGATTGGTTTATCAAAAATGCACGAATACTGAATGTAAGACACAATCAGCCTGGGATGGATTAAAACTAAAACTTATTATAAATGGGTTATCATGTTGATTAAGGCGTTCAGCTTTACGCTCGCCTAAAATATGAATTCACGTGTCGTGTCGGAAGAGCAGGTTGGATAATCGTACTGCGTATACAAAGAACACACCTAGATTAACACATTGGAAGGGCCGGATTGAGATATGTGGAGGCTCGGGGTAACCAAAATCTGTAAGGGCCCCTTTCTTTACTCTAAAGGTTATGGGGGTTCATTTTTCAAATAACGAAATTTAGTTACCAATTTCGTAAAACATCTATTTAAAGTATAAACTAAGAATGTAAAGAGTGTAAAGTACTTGCATGTGATAATTGAATGTTCCTTAAGATAAAGTACTTTGCGGCATTTGCTTTGGACAAAGTCTTTAGTCAGTTTTCACCGTGATTCATGATTGCGCGTAGTCTATTCATCCATAAACTGAAATTGATGTTATAAAGAGTAAAAAAGTGTTCTCCTTTGTTCTATGCAGCAATTTTTAATTTCCTGTTGACTGATGTAGACGCCTTGTTTGTAGAGTCCCCTGGGCCGCTACACAGTCTTCCATTGGGTTAATCAGGCCCTGCAAATTGGGGAAAATTGTTTGAACGCTTTGCTTTGCTACACTATACACATTAACTTCAAACTTTGTGATGCATTTCTTGACGAATTTAATCTTTCCTGTAGCTTATATTTTAAATGATTGGGGAAGAATCGAAAAAGGGTGCCAACGACTGCTTGAAGGTATAATGTTGTGCAATATTATAATGTATGATCAAAATTTGTTTTTAATCAATTTCATTGTAAAACATATTATCTAAAGCATATCACAGTTTCATACAAAATCAATTTTTGGTACATGTTGTCAACATCTCATATATTTGTGCTATTTGTCTCCCTGAGAAAGTTTGATGGCGTTGTGTCATTTCTTTGACAGGCACACTCGGCTATGTTAGGGTATTGAAATAGTGATACACAACAAACTTGCTATGGATATCTTATAATTAATACTTAATGAAATAACGATTGAATTGTTTAGTAATGGATATTACTGATGAGATAGCTAAGGATTGGAAAAGGTTGGGAATGAAGTTGGAAATACGACCTTCGGAATTGGAGAGGATAGATATAGATTTTTCAACTGTGAAGGAGAAGTCATCTCAAATGTTGTTGCAATGGAAAAAGGAAAGAGGAAGAGATGCTACTACAAGAAAATTGGCTGATGTCTTAATTGCAATTGGTCGTCGAGATGTTGCAGAAAAATTGCACCAAGGTAATGCTTGTTAGGTGAAATTTAACCAAGAATTTTGCATAACAAACCATCAGATCCGTGTGAATCAAAGGGTGGTGTACACAGTTTTAAAAATAAAATCTAAAGTATAAATTGCTTTTAGTAAAGCAAATACTCCATCCAAGAAGTATATTACACAGTGAAAGAATTAAAATGTAAAAGCTTGCCATTTTAAATATAAAATTACTTCAAATGTGTTTGTTTTAGAATAATGTTTCTTTCATCGTCAAGGTGCTGTATAAATAACTTTATCATATCTGAAATTCAAACTGTTTGGTAAAAATTTTTTAAATAATAAGGTTTCAGTTTTGTGTTCGTTTTATAACTTTCTTCTTTACTTTAGCATTGCATTCGAAATATTTATTATGGTTTTTAAGAAACATAGTTTGTTGATAGCTTTAGTTGCGAGACTAAAATTATGTATTTTTTCTTTTCTGTGTCGTAGAAGAAGACGAAAGCAAAAATAAGGACAACCAAAGACAACCAAAAGGTGTAGTCTTTTATAAACTTTCTAGAACTGGCTATGCTTGATTTCATTTTCAGTGGCGTAGCTAGGAAAAATAGTCACTCCCGCCAATCTATCTCGCGCCGAAGGCGCGACCCCACTAGGGGGGTCCGGGGGCATGCTCCCCCGGAAAATTTTGAAATCCAGAGCCTTGGAAACAGCATTTCCTGCGATTTCGAGGGCGATTTATTTGTTGTACAATAATTTATAAAAAACCATTTTTGTTAGCTGCATTCTTAATGTGGCAATCGTTGAAACTGCAACTAGTTAAAAGGTACTAAAGGTGGCTCAGAGAAACGTTACGCAGGAGACAATTGTCCCCTAAAACATAATTTACTCATCACTGCCCTGCATAAACAGAAGAAATTTGTATTAGCACAAAAATAATATAGTATACGACACTTCTAAAGTGCATAGAGAGAGATTTTTCTTAGCATTCCACTTGTTAGTTTAAACTTGTTTAGATTGGGGCAAGTAGACAGGGATGGCTTTATTCTTTAAAGTTATGCTTAATTTTCTCAATGAAGTACCATGTATTATACGAACAAATATCAAAACACATACTATACTCATCATTTATAAAGAAAGGCCAGCCTCCTGGGTTTTCTACAAATTTTCAACCACCTCGTTATGCAACACCTCTGATTCCTCTTTCTTTTCAATGATATCTTTGTGAATAGATATTCTACACAAAGAGCTAAGCCGACCTTGACCCATTCTATTTCTTAAATAGCTTTTACCCTTTTAAGCAAGAAAAAACCTCTCTACTGAAGCACTTGCCACTGCCAACACACCATTCAATTTTAACAAATTTACCACTTGACCTAAACTCGACTGGAGATTAAATTTGAAGATGTATTTAAGAACCTCATTACTGCACTCTTTGTGAAAGTCCTTGTCGTTGTAAATGAAGGAAAGTTGACTCTCCAAAGTTTGGATGTCAAAAGAGGACTATACTTATCTTTGAGAAGATTGATCTTCTCCTGTGGAACTATGCCCTTCCATGTAGTAAATAGTTTAGGATTTACAAGGTCTAAAAACTCGAACTGATTAATATCTTGAAATCGTTCACTTAACATGCCTTTAATGGAATCAATAATCTCAAAATAAAGCTGTTTGTAATTGTATCTACTATCTGCTCTGGTTGCTGGTGGGCCTACTTTTCTAGTGCAGTTTGGTAAAACTCGGTGAAAGCTTGATCTGTGCGAAGTGACACAATAAACTGCTTGAAATTGTCAATCTTGCTTATGCCATAGTTAAAATGGGTTTCCCTATTTTGAAGAATGGAATACAAAATTGTGGACTGTTCTAAAATCCTGTAAAAACACACACTAGAAAACAAAAGAAAGCTATCAAGATAATGCAGTAAGCCACTTATTTTACTTAATGACTCATCATCCCACCCAGCTGGTTGTTCAAGTACCCCTCAAAAATATCTAAAAGTTTTTCATAGTTTTTGTGCAATACATTGATTAATCTAGAGCGATAATACCATCTTGTTTCACCAGGGCAGGAAACTCAAGGTTGTTAGATGTGAGAAAAGCTTTTCTTTTGGGGCATTGCTTGTAAATGTGCTGAATGTAGCTATATTAATAAAAAGATTTTAACAGGAGAAATTGATGAGGCTGACTGGCATAGGACCAGGTTCAATCTATGAGCTGCACAATGAACAAAATGAGCAAAAGGATACTCTTGTCGAACCAATGCTTGAACACCATTGATATGGCCAGACATGACAGAAGCACCATCATATGTTTGTAAAACCAGTTTTCTTTTATATTAGAATACTCACCAAGTTTATCTTTGACAACTTGTGATATTGCTGTGGCATTTCTGTTCATACTTTCATCCACAAATCCTAATTGCCTCTCCATAATTTCACTTGCTTTGTCAAACCGAGCAATAACACTTAGCTGCTCTTTGGTGGAGACATCAGATGCTTCATCAACCTGAATACTCATAAATGTGCAATCATTTATTTCCTTTCTGATTTCATCTTCAATAATTGAATCAAGACAGCTGATAAGACCATTTTGAATTTCTGGGAGACTCCAGTAAATCTTCTGTCACCAACTATATCAGATTCTGCTAGTCTACTGTGCAGTCGACGCTCAAATACAGAATCAAACTTAGCAAAACATTCGAGCAACTCTCTATAATTACCTTTGTTCAAGCTACCTTCGGACTCATTGTGACCTCTAAATGGCAACTCTTGCTTTGACAAATACAGCACGGCCTCAGTAACAGTTTTAAAATTTCTCGATTTTGTCTTACCTCCTCATTGTGACGCTGAATCTCATTTCTTCTAGCGAGGGACATAAGACAATCAATTCGTTCACTAGCTCCATACGTTTTCCATGTCTTAAATGCAGTCAAATGCGATTTAGATTTTCATGCTTCTTAGCATCAGACATAATACTACGCATATCGTTGTAGCCATTCTTAGTCCACGATGGCGATGTTTTGGGGAAAACATTAGACATGGCCAACAAAACACTTTCTGCAAGGTTGTACTGCCACACAGCCAGTCCTTCGCCTCATACCAAACTCTCTGAAATGCTCTTCCCTTATTTTGGATAGTTAAATCAGGAGTAGGCCGTTCATGAACGATAACATTCTGTTCGACCGACGATCGAGCAGAGAACGGTTTAGCTAATAAGCTATTTACTAAATCAACATCAGTTGAGCAAATCGCAGTCGCACTTGAAGCCATTGTGTCATACACAAATACAAAATAGCAATTTGAGAGTAAACACAATGGAAAATTAATACCGACAATGACACGTAATTTGATAATCACTAATCGCTGTACTCGTATTAAAAGGTCGAATAATTACAACCTCCGCCAATTTAAAATAGCGGGAGTTCGACTATAAAACAGCAGATTTGAGCATGCGTCAAGTCCCTTAGCCAACCAGAATTCAAAACTTCTTATATAGAATTATATTGTATGTTCCGCCCTCTGAAGATGGGCGGAATACGTGGAGAATCGCGCGAGTATGCAATGTGCGAGAAAAGGCGGTTGCTAGGTTACATAACAAATCTTGAGATTTTGCTGTATTACGATTACGAACCACCTAATAAAAGCGTAAATATGAACGAATAAAACATAATATTACAAATTGTTCGTGAAATAATGTATATCTTATGTCCAAATAGAATATTTATTATTTTTTTGGGAAATTTCTACTCCCGCCGGGCGGGAGTAGCGGGACCGCTAGCTACGCCACTGTTCATTTTGTATGTGGGATTGGTGGGGTGATAAATATGCAATTGGAATTGATACTTTAACTTCAAATTTGTATTCCGAATTCAAATGCACACCATGAACTTTAAATTTTAAATTTTAAATTTGAATCTTTGTTGGTCAGTGGTATCAGTGTTTTCATTGCCATCGATATAATTTTTGATGAATACCGGAAGTTGAAGGAAAAGCAAAGGAAATCGATAGTTTTGAAAAAGGGGAAACAAAAAAACATTGAAATATGGTCAATATATACCAACTGGTCTCCTCGAGTGAAATATCAAAGTAAAGAAAATGAAGCACAAAGGGGAAAGAGGATGGCTTTTACTAGTCTTACCACATCTAGTAAAGCGCTATACAGCACCATACAGCAACAAACATCAAAAGTTAAGATGGTTTAACTTACGACTGTTTAACGCACGTAAATTGTTTATGAAATTGTGCAAGACGGGTAGTTTGCAAACAGCAGGAGATGAAGTGGGCGGACGTGTTTTGACAGTGCCCTAATAAAAACTACTGGTATGTATATTACACTGAATAAAGCATCCATGTATAAAATATAGTACGAAAATTGAAGCCGGAAATTTGCTCATTTACTTATGACCTTCGGTCCCACTTTACCATACTTTTGTATTACAAAGTCACAGTTTTTTTTGATTTTATTCGTTCTACAAACTTTTGATTCGAGCAAAATTTTTTTGACAAGGACAGAACGAGCGGCAAACATATTTAATCCTAAAAAGTTTGTCTTCTTAGCTTTATAATGCCAGAAACTTGACATGGTACAAGGTCGACCTGCATTGTTTTGAAACAAACTGGAGATTATATGATGCTGCTGCTTCTTAAAAAATGTGAAAATTTTACAGAATCCTAATACTGCCACCAAAATTTCATCTGCAATGACGTTCATGAAAGATTACTACAAATTTACACATTTAACTACACTTTGTTTGGGGTTGTAATTCACATCGCAAAAATCATAATAATTTCAAATTACGTGAAGAAACAAAATAAATCGACATAGACAAATAATCAAAAAGAAATTTGGATGAATAGTAAGTTGAAAACGGTATCATCAAACTCTACGAGATGCACATAATTAAAATATGCAAAAGTGCCTCTCTGTGTTGCATTAAGCGAAGCAATGTTATAGTCTAGTTTCTTTGTGAACAACTTCAATATATTAACGATAAGAATACCTTTGTTCGTACTTTGTTGTAATTTAAGTATTCATCTTCTAAAAATGTCTTGCGCAACTGAAATTGTCTTTGTTAACTTCAACTTTCAAATTTCAATACAAATTGCCATCGTATTTTTTAGTCGTTACAAAGCTAAGAAAATAGAGCTTTAGGGTTAAAACCCTCTAACGGTTTTCCTTTACATCTCATGAAAATTTTGCCGCAATCAGAAGTTTGTAAAATGAATAAAAACGCAAAAATTGTGATTTTGTAATACAAAAGTATAGTAAAGTAGGACCGACACCTACCATGAAGCCAGTAGCAGATAATCGAACTTCCAGCTTCAATTTTCACAAGAATGCGTTATCCAGTCTAATATACACATCAATGATGAGAACATGCATTTCGCTTTCTTCGGCCGCAGGTGGTTTTTACCTCAACAACACACTGGTTTAAAAGGGGAACATGACACTTAAGCACTTGAGGCAATGTTATTCGTCTATAAGATTTTTTAAAGTGTGTTGTACGATACTATGCATAATCGAAGAGCTGCTTAACTTACTTGCACCAAAAATCACACGCTGGAAAGCCCGACAAGTAACCATCAGGGAAAACAAAAAGGAAACAGAAACACTGGGTATTTGATCACTGGTGATGCTTTTATAACTGTTGCAAGACTTTAGCTTAAGGGCCTCTACCATGTCAAGAACTATGATTAGACCGCTGCATGTGCTAAAAAATCAATTTGAATTTTTGCTGAACAGTTTATGATTGGATTGAGCTGGCTTGTGGCTTGTGGTTTTTTAAGTATGGTGGAACTTTTTAATTGCGTGGTGCAAATAATGGGAAGCATGTTAATATACTATTTCCTTTAAGAGGAATACATGCATTTTTATGATGATTAAATATATCGATAAATGTATCGATGGCAGCCGTCAATCTAAATTAGGACTATATGATGGTTTATATTGGTGATGATGGAGGTTTCATGATTTAGATATTTTTGCAAGCAGTAACTATGGTATTGCAATCGAGCACAACATGTTAAATTTAGCTACATCTAAATAGAACACCACCTGAAAGAAACAAACACATGTTTTTGTTGGCGATGATGCGTTTGCAATAAGGACATACATTAGCCAAGGTGTATGATCTTGAAGAATCGCAAGTTAGCAATCCTCAAGTGCAATACGAATCGTTGAAAAGGCTTTCGGGATAGCAACACAAAGGTTTATATTGTATAGACGGAAGTTATACTGTTGAAGTAGCTACCTGTTAAAAATACAATAGTTATTATTGCTCTACATAACTGTTACTGTCTGTGTTATTTTAAAGAATTGGAAAAAGGTGAGCTCGGAAATGAGGGAGAAGAGGAGGCAAGCCAACACCTGCCCCTGGTCTTAATGCCTTCAGAAGTTTGTGATGCAATAAATTATCTGGGATTGCCAAAAGTGTGCGAAATAGCTTCCTAAACTCTTATACTCCAAGGGCAGGCTCTGTTTCTTGACAACAGGCAATGGTTACATGCCTATGTGGACTGAAACAAGTATAATATTGTTAAATCTGAAAAAGAAAATAATTTAAAAACATTTAAATTTTTCTGTTTTTTTCAAACACAGTTCTTTTTTTTCTGATGAAATTCATACAACTACAAAAAGTTACTCGTGATAGTTGTATCACTCACTCTACTGCTGCAATTTGGGTGATTCTTGAAAATTTGGTGTTGGAAATGGTGGGTTATGTTGCTTTGACCACTGATGATGTACACCACTTGATGAAATGAGATAATGGAAAAAATCTCTTTTATTCCAATTTCATAATTTCTTGATTTTTAAGCTTCATCTTGCATGAAACATAGCAGTTCCTTTGATGGATCATTTGTCCGTCATTGTCTTTGAGTGAACTATAGCTTAACCAACATTGTTTTATGTCTAAACTTTTCGTCTCTTCTCTGGAACAAATGATTTTTTCCTCTATAACTTCATTTTCTCCTTCAAACGTCTAACTTTTCTTCCGTGTTCCAAGACAAGCACTAAAAGATTGTTGCTAGAGCTAGTGGCATTGGTAATACTTCAAAATGGTGGTTCTATTGCTATCTTGACTCTGCTAAAGTCTCTGTACTTGCGAAACTGCAACAATTCCTAAATCATGCCTCATATTCTTCAACTTTTTAAAAACGTTTCATGCCACTGACAGATTTGATTGTCATTGCAACTTGTGTTTATTATATACATTATTTTTATAATTATGTATAAATTGTGTAACAGCAACGTAAATGATCTTTTGGTCTTTTAGTAAAACAGAGCATTTATCGAATGCAAACGTTTCTCGCGTATCTTAACTGCAAATAACGCAAAATTTAGTTTAGAAATGAGGTTGAACGCATTGGGAAACTTCCTTCTTGGACATTACTATGATAAAAATTAAAAACAATTGGTCCTTGTTTTTCCACATGTCAGGGCTCATCAGCATACCTGGCTACAAGCAACAAAAATTTTATTAATATAAATCGAGCCTGTGGTTCTACAGTGCACAAGTTTGTGCAAAGCTGAAATGAGGAATCTGGTTTCAAGACGCCAGACACTCGTCTATCACAGTTTGGAAGAGACAGAAGAAGTGCTTGGTTTGTCACGAGAAGATTTTTCAAACATTTCATTGACATGCAATTGCTCAGTTTTCTATCTCATTCCTGTTTCATATCTTTTCCCTTTTCAATAACCTACTGATTCTTGTCGCACATGCACTAAGCCGAAAACATAGGAAATCAACTGACGCTGACATCATTAAGTATGAAAGGATCCATGTAAATGTCAGAAAGTTGACAACAAGTGAAAATATGATAGCAAATTGCATTGTCCGATTTAGCCTTTGTATGTTTCTTCTCTCATTTTTTTTTCTGAACTTCATGTCAAACTTTTTATCCTATCACAATGGTACAATAATGCAAGTTGTAAATTTGCATAACTTGTTATTTGATATTGTTTGATGATGCCTTCAGAGGTAAAACGAAACGTTACGCTGCTCAATAAGCCTTTTCATGCAATACCTTTTTATTTATTATCTCTTTGTCTTTATTGAATTTTGGTCTTTAATATTTTCAATTGGATTTCTTTTTTTCTTTTTACCAATAAGAAGTTTTTGGTAAAATTTACAGTCTTACCCACCCAAAACAATTAAAAACTTTTCCTTTCTGTTCAATCTTTTTGCCTTGCGAAAGCATTAAAAGCTTCGCTAAAACGCTTTGTAGAAGTTATTTGGGCATACTTGTTTCAATTTCTATCAGAAAATCTGAGTCACACCTAATGATAATTGAGAACCAATTATGCTCTCCGTTATTGCACTTGTTTGAACTTAAATAATCAAGTTTGTTTTGTTTGATTAGAAAAGTTTTAAAAAAGGCATTAATAGTGTAGCGAGCTGTTATAATTTGTTTGTTTGATGCATTCTGTACTTTTTAAAAAGGAGATTTTCAATAGTAGAGAAACTTTCTGAAAATACAGTAGAAGAATATTGATGAGTTGTGTGAACTGGTTTTGTGGAGGGTAAAACAATTCACCTTTTCCACACTTGGTAAAATGTGCCCAATTACACATTTAAACATCGTAGTGACAGAAATCTTTGTGTCATAGCATGGGTTTTGCGAGAGCCAAGGCAAGTTAATTTGTATACACAAGATCACAGTTAGATAGAGGATGAAGTTTGCCGTATATGGCAATGAATTTGATTACTCGAGAGAGGAGTCTCTTTGTTTATCGCTGTGGCTGCAAAGATAAGGATTACGCATCCAGGTTTTTGGTTGATAAATAAAATCGTAATATATTAAAAGACTGTTATCGTTGAGAGTGGATTTGCAATACTTTGTTTTACGTTTTCATTGAAAATTCTAAAAAGACACGTTGGTGTCTGTCAACAGATGACAATTGTAATATTTGAAATGTTTCTTTTTTATTTAAAAAAAAAAATTAATGTTCGGATTGGATTTATTGTCTCCACAAGTAATTTTTCATGAATAAATTTTCTCGTATAAAGTTACAAATAGAAAAATATTAAAATCCAACGTTTATATTTTAGTTCCGTATGGCCTGCGTGAATTGCCCAGTGACATGGTTGAGCGGCCATCACTTGTAAACGACATTATAGAGAAACTTAAGTCGGGGAGTAATAGGGTGGGAGTTGTAGGCGTTCGTACGAGAGACAAAGTAAGTATTCGCGGCATGGGTGGACTTGGAAAGACTGTATTAGCTCAGGCTGTTGCTTGGGTTCAAGCAGAACAGCGTCACGTAATTTGGCTTGATATTGGACAAAATCCAGACTGCCTAAGTCTTCTAAATACACTTATCAATGAACTGGGTGGAGCATTAACTTATAGTAACGAAGAAGACGCGCAATCTTGGTTGAGAGAAAACACACGGGACAAAGATTGTTTGCTTGTTCTTGACGACGTATGGAAACTAAAACACGCCAGTTTGTTTGACTGTTTATCTGGTCGTTGTCAGTTGCTGATTACAACACGAGACGCAGACGTTGTTTGTGCCTTAAAAGGTTTGATTTCACCGTACGAATAGAATTATACTATTTACAAGTTTACTATATATGTAGATTCTACTGTGACGCAATACAAAGTTTGAATTTGCTGAAAAAATTGTGACATCAAGAATTTTCCAGTACATGCTTGCATCCTAGGCAATACAGAGTGTTAATATTTTACTCATATTTCACAGTCTATATAAAATCCAATTGTATTTTACCATATCTCGTTTGCTTTACGACATCATTGATCAATCATGTCAGGGGTGGATAGTTTTTAAAGCATACAAATTAATTAAATATGAAATAACATGCAAAGAAAGATTTTTATACGTTTTTATAGCGAAATATTAAGCAAATGTACTTTTTTAAACTGCTTTTGATGAATAATAAGTCAAGTTCTAGGAAATATTCTTCTTTTAGGCGTTGTAGTCAAATTACAAGTAATGCCTAAAGATCAATCTCGCCAGCTTTTATACAAAGGTGCGCTTGTTACTGCTAATGAACAATCAACATTTTCCTCCAAAATGCAAAGCATAGTGGAACAATTGTTAGATGAGTGCCGTGGTCTCCCGCTGGCTTTGTCGATCGTCGGTGCAACCTTAATGGATACTCGTGCTAAACAGGATTGGCAAGATATTTTAGACGAACTTAAGAATGCAAACTTACAACAGCTAAAAATAAAGTCTGAAGACGATCTCTTGCCTGGTGAATACCAATACACAAACGTTTCGGCTGCTATTGAAGTCAGTTTAAAACGACTGAGCCAAATTAAAGCAGAATACGAAGAAAGGTTTTTTGACTTTGCCATTTTTCCAGAAGATACCGACATCCCATCAGACATTCTTGAACTCTTTTGGTCATCTGAGAACATTCCAGGGCGAAATGCATGTAGTGCCAAAGAAACAAGAAAAATATTGCGTGTGCTTGAGAGAAAATCTCTCATACAAAAAGGTCAGTATTTTACCCTACAAAAAGGACCTATTGGGTATAAAATGTAATACATAGCATGTAGTACATTTACAATATACATTATGTCTCGAGTGTGAACAACCTATGAACGATGCTCATGCCTGGGTCAGCGGAATTTTTTTTATGTAAGCCAAACAAGCGAAATTGAAAAGAAAATAGACTTCTATTACTGCAAAGCAAATTTGCTCCTAAAAATAATAACGAAAAAGACGTTCTTTGAGAGGAAAAATATTTTCCTTCATTGTTTAGCCTGATTCAAATAAAACTTGTTCATTTATTCTTTTTGATTATTGATCTTAAATCCTTTGATCTCATTAATTATTCATTTGTCAGTTCTACACGTACGTGGATAACTTGTTAATTCGAGAGTAATTCTAGGACCTGTAATGGAAGAGAAAACTAGCTATCGTGTCCATGATCTAGTGCTGGATTATGCTCGTGAAAAACTACGAAGCGAAGATCTTTCCAAGCAAAGATCGGTGGAGGATGTTCAAAGTCAGTTCCTTGATGCACTACGTGAACAATGCACAAACCGCGAATGGCCATGCTTCAATGGAAAAAGAGACTATTTTTTTAGATATTTACCTTACCATCTCCATTCGTCGAAACAATATGAAGAACTTCAACGGCTCTTCTTCAACTTCCATTGGCTGCAACAAAAGGTGAAAGAAACTAATCTACCATCTTTGATATCAGATTTTCGATTTCTTGAACACCCCTTGAACGAAATCAAACTTCTTAAATCGTCGTTAATGTTGTCTGCTGATATCATCGAAAGCAGTCCAAATTCAATTGGTCCTCAGTTGCTAGGTAATAAATGTTGTGGTAATAAATATAATTTTGAATTCAAGTAAAACGCATGCTTTGATTGGTCAACAGACGTGTTTTATTATCCAAAGCAAAACACATCTGAGCTCAACCAATCAAATCAATCAATCAATCGACGAGAATTTGCCAATCAATCCTAAATAAATTTTAAAGAAAAAGTTAAAAAGGGCATTCGTCCTTTGGCTCTTCGGTCTTTTTTAATGAATATTTATTCCAAACGGTTACCGTGTTTGGATGGCCTAAATTAAAAACGCGAAAAGAAATATGTGATAGTTAATGAGAGCGAATGCTAACATTTTTACATGTCATTTTATTCCACTCTACAGGAAGGCTACTTTCCCATGAGGAAGAGTTTCCAAGAGTAAAAAGACTTTTTGAATGACTAAACCTTAGACTTGTAAAAATTAATTTTATAGTGGATTTAAACTATTTGCACTTTTTTACATGACATTTTGTTTTACTATATAGGAAGGTTGCTTTCCCATGCGGAGGAGTTTCCAAGAGTAAAAATACTGTTAGATCGAGCCCGTGAAACTTGCTCTACGACTTGCCATCTCGTTCCGTTGTTTTCATGTTTATCAGACCCCACAGGTCCGTTGATAAAGATATTCAGAAAACACCATGACAAAGTTTTAGCGTTGGTTACTACTGTAGGTCCTTCAGGAAATGTGGTGATCTCAGCGTCAACGGACTGCTTGATAAAAGTACATGAACTGGAAACAGGTCGGGAGTTAGAAGTGCTCCGAGGTCATACAATGGACGTCTACTGCCTCGCGCTGTCGCACTGTGGAACAAAGCTTGCATCGGGTTCCTATGATTCTTCGACAAAACTTTGGAGCTTAGACACATATAAATTGCTATTTACCATGGAAGCTGAAGGAGGATTTGTCAATACACTGGCTTTTAGCTTTGATGACAATCGTCTTTTCACTGGTTCAAATGATGGTATGTTATTCTAAAGTAAATTAAAGTAAATGGTTTTGATGTATTTTTTTTTTAACCAATAAGCCCATTAAAATTTAACCAATAAATTTTTGAGTTTTGTCAATGTATGTTCATTGTGACTATCAAGTAGCCAAAATACGCTCAAATTACGTTAAGAACCGTTTGGTTCCACGTACAACAGTCAACTAATTACATTTTGTTTTTAACTCTAACTAAAACAACAACACCCTTTTAAACGTCACTTACTGTTTCTTTATTCCGTCCAAAGCGGTAAATCGTACGGTAGCCACATTCATCTTATCCCGTTTTGTGTTTGGTTTTCTTCTTTATTGAGTTAAAGAATGGTCAGATTAATGAAGTACATAAAATTTTATGTCATCGTTAAAGGATGCCGATTTTCACATAAAACTATTTAAACTGAACAAGACGCCTATAAGGCGTTCACTTGGGTTCCTCAAAAACAGTTGTATTTACGTATTTATAACAGTTTCCAAATACCACAACATAATTCACGACATTGAAATTTCGTATGTGGCAATATTTATGTGAGTAAATCAACTCGTATTGTTAGTGATACTTACGCGTGGAATGATCTAAGAAAGATTTTGATGAGTTTAAAGACTTCGTGTCGCTGTCACGCAAAATTCATTTAATCTCGCGGCAGTACAGGAAGTCTGAATTTAAAACTGGGGCTTACATTCAGGATAGCTCGAGTAGTGCTTATAAATTATTATTTTGGTTAGTATCATGTATGCAAAGTAAAAATATTAAAAAAGATTTGTTTTTTAGGTAATTTGCGAGTATGGGATGTAGCTAATGGCAAATTATTATTTGCAATGGCAGCACATAAAACGAATATGCATATTCGAGGCTTATGTACCACCAGAGATGGCCGTATGATAGCGACGGGATCACTTGATTTTACAATCAAATTATGGGATGCTTCTACATTGATTCACGTGGCAACACTAAAAGGCCATACAGACACCGTTTATGCCGTAGCAGCTACTTACGATAGTAAAATGATTGTTTCTGCCTCTGGTGATAAAACTTTAAAGATCTGGAATTTGCAGTCATTTCGCGAGTGGCAAACATTAAAGGGACACCAAGGAGAAATATACAGTGTCGCTGTAAGCAGTGACTCGAAATATATAGTTTCTGGAGGACAGGATATGCACGTAAGGTTATGGTGCTTTCAAACTGGAAAATCTCTTTTTTGTTTTAAAGGACACAGCCAATCTATTAGGTAATCAATTGTAGAACTTGCTTTGACCGTGACATCTATCTACAATGTTTTCATAAAGTGCCATTATTTTTTAGACGTCAAGTTTTAGCATTCAGATAAAACTATTCAAATTACTGTTGTCAGCATTAGCCATTTCCCGCATATGATAAAATACCTAAATGCTGCTATGATAAGTATGCTTAAATAATACAGCAATGATCTAATTCTCTTTATTCTAGATCTGTTCTCATAATTTCAAATGGTGCAAAAGCACTGTCTGGCAGTCAAGATAAGACATTTTTCATGTGGGACCTGGATACAAGTAAACGTTTGAACGACGGGTCGTTTCATGGTCATTGTGAAGATGTAATGGACATTGCAATCACACAAGATGGCACGAACTGTGTTTCGTCATCTATGGATGGAACATTAAAAATCTGGAAATGTGACAATGCCAACGAATGCTTTAATTTGAAAGGTATGTAACTTACTTTATCCTAATGGTAAAAATCTAAACATTCGGAAAAATTAAACTGTCTCGTGCAAATAAACAACAACTCAAGCAAGTGGCGGATCCGGCTTTTATCTTACCCCTCATTAAATTTCGATATTGACATGAATATATTAATACTAATTAAAGTTCAAAATTTCATCTGAAATGAAAGCGAAGCTTAATACAAATTTTTTCCGAATATCAAGAATCATAAGTCATAAAATTGTTAAATAACTCAAAAAACCAAATGTATTTTGAAGATAAACTCTCCAATTTCATGACTGTTTACGCACTTGAAATAATATGCAAATAGGGCCTAATTAGCAGAGTCATATTACAGATTAAAGTAAATTTTACATGGTGCTTTCATGACAAATTAAAAATCTAACGAGTACCTTAAAGCTGTGTACTTGATCTTTGTTTTCAATGCAGAGGACTATAAACTTCAGCCCCAAAATTGCAATGCAATACATTTACATTTTTATATTTTCCTATTTAACGACGTGATCAGCTCAGCACCCGCTTCTCGGTTTAGAATTCAGCTCTTTCAAGTATGCCTCGTACAAATAGGAATAAAGTTTTTTAAGCGCACTTACTACCATTTTTCCATTTAGTGTACAAAAATATCCTTATAATACAGACTTACAGTTGGAACGATGATTTGTTTTAAGTGTGATGTGTTTATTTTGAACTTTTGACCCGACTGACCGGTCATTAAAAATTGACCAATGACAGTTTACTTTGCCCTTTTGCTGACCAACTGTATTAAAGAAAAGTTTGCAGGCTAACCCACAGATCGGTCAAACTACCAATAAAGTTGCCTGCAGACCGGTCAAAATTGAAAACTGACCAATCTAAGCCATATTTTTGAGCTTTTCCAGACCGCCGACCAGTCATACATTTATATAGATACTGCTGATCTCGCTGCTGAATACACCAAAGTAACGCTTGCTCTTTTAGTGGCGCAGTTACGCGTAATATACACCGGATTTTGTACGAAAAAGTTTTTTGAATAAAGGTAGTGATAGTCTACGCTCGCTTTGTTTCGAAACATGGAACATACAAATTTCACAAACTTTTACTTACTTCACTTGACCGCTTTGATGTACCATAAGACGGCCACTGAGTTCAAGGCATACAAAAAATAAACAATGAAACTTCATATATTATAAACAGGCACATGAGTCTACGCCTTGACATTTGATTCATAATGTTTTTCATACTTTAGAAAAACAATTTTGAAGTTAAACGTCACAGTTCTTGAAACACTAAGTAGTATGGAAACTATCACGTGTATTTTGATTTGCGTACCGAGGATTTTCTATAGAAGTGAGTCACGGATCACCTCAGATGCTTGCTTTTTGTGGGGGTAGGAGCATGCTCTCTCGGAATATTGTAAATTCTAGGATATCGGAAATGCTATTTCAGCATTTTAGAGACAATGTAAAGCCAATGTTATTATAAGTAATATCATGGTGCTGAGGTTAGTTAGTGATTAAGTGCACTCTAAAGCTGACTTTCACTAAACCTTCCCCGGCTTTCGAGTACATTTCATTACCAATTAACCTCACTACCATGATATTGCTTTGACTGCCGAAATCTTTTAGCTGCTTTTCACACGGTTTCAAAGATGGTGTAAAGTAATGCCCCGTCCACACGTATCCGGATTCGTTTGTATCCGCAAACATTTTGTTGCGATTACGCTTATCGTCCACACTTTTCACGCATGCTGTAGTCGCAAACTTTTGAAAACGGATTCCAGAGAGGAATCTTTTGAAAACACATCAACTCCTGACACGTATGGACGCACTGTAACCGGAATGATCTAAAAACGCTGATGTAAATCGTTGAAATATAGTATCTACTCAAGCACCGCTGCCCTAATCCAATCCACATTTATCATGCGTTATCCTATAGATTAAAATGGTGCCTAAAGCGATTCTTTCGATTTTTACTGCACTATTTTCGAGCATTGTTGCGTTTATGAAAGCAACTATTACCGTCTTAAATTATCATGGAAAGAGAGCGAGCAGTTTTGATAGGGCTCCTTTCAATGCCAGTTGCCAGAAATGTGTCCTTAAACATTTTTGCTATTTATATCCTAAAACGACACTTAATAAAGGCTTATTTTATCGTCTGTCCACACAAAAGCTTCATTCTTACCTTTTCTTTTGATGACCTTGAAGCAGTAGTTTTTTTTTGATAATTCGACATTTTATAGCGTGCTCATTATTCGTAAAAGCTCATGCTCTGTGAGCAATATTTGGGTATTTGTATCGTTTCCTCCGCTACGTTTGGACACACAAAAACACATCAAATTCGGATACATGTGGTCGGGTAAAGTTTTGAATCCGGAACAAAATGTTTGCGGATGCTGAAGCATTCGGATACGTGTAAACATGGCCTAAATGTTTTTGTGTTTTTGGGAATGCTCTGTTGTGATTTTTATTATTTCAAGCTCAGGATTTGTGATTTATAGTAATACTACCACTACTGTCGTCACGTAAGGTCGTGTTACTTGTAAAACGATTTTGAATTTGAACAGGTTGAATATTCGCATGCGATATTTGCAGCACAGATTGAACAAAGACAATAAGCCTGATATTTTTTGCAACAATTGAGTCAAGGTCATAAGATATTTACTATTTTTCTTCTTTGTACAAGCGTTGTGTTGGTTGTAACAATCACCATAATCACTGCTCATTGTATAAATAGGCAAAGGATTATTAGCTATATTGCTCTGATTGTTTTGTTTTTGCTTAAAGGAATACCGAATTACGAAAATTAAATTTGACTTGTTCTGTTATATCTTTTAGGCCATACCAAAAAAGTAAAAAGTATTTCTATCTCGAATGATGGCCGTCTTGTTGTTTCGCTTGGAAAAGATTTTTTAATTAAGGTGATGTTTATAAATTATATTATGGACTCGACATTCGCATAATTTTAGATTTTCTTTTAAAAAATCAAGGGGGGGTTGTACGTCGAAAAAATAGTTACCTATTTTTTAACTTAGAGGCTTTGAAAATGTTAAGAAATTGTAACAAATAACACCTGTATTAACAAATACAAAATCAGAATCACGCTCCTTGGTGTCAAATATTTTTTTCCCATAAAGTCGACTGTCAGACTACAATCTACGAAAAGTTATAAGTTAATTCAATGCTACAAACTTGAGAATAAATATTACAAAAATATTGGAGAAAGTTTGAGAACAGTTTTTGAAAATAATTATTTTTTGTCGAGCCTTAAATGGCATTCGGAAAATAGTGCTTTTGCGATGAATAATGTGCAAAATGTAAACGATTGCGATTTTCTTCCCGTCTGAAAGTGAATTTCTCTTGATGTTTAAAGGCATCTTGCCTCCTCTACATTGTCAAGCATAAAACTTAAGTACTTTAGCTACTGAAACTGTTCTTTGATGGCTTTTTTTTGAAGAGCAGCTCTATATTGTAATGGTAGTTTGACTATCTGTTATGTAATATATCTTTAATAATAACACATGGAAGCTGTGTCAGGACTACAAAAAAAATTAAGTTTAGATAAATGTTTAATTGTTTTTTAATTGTTGTTATGTTTTCTACTTCGCAAAAGGGAAATATAATGCTGCCTTTGTTCGATTCTAATCTTCAAATATTTATGAATTTTTAAAAGAATTGAAAGATTGTTATGTCTTGACTTCTTGCTCACAAGCTCTACAAATAATTTAATTCAAATGTGCTCATTACAGTTTCTTTCTGCACATAATTCTTTATGTAATTCAGGTATTCATTTGGTATTCATAGGTTTGGAATTTGCTCGATGGAGCAGAAATTTGCAGTATCACTGGCGATGAGCAATCACGTTTAGTACGTTTTGATTTTAACGGGGAGCTTGTTCTTATTGGCTGCAAAGACAACAAGATGTATGTTTGGGACTGGCAAAACCATGGTGGACTTAAATGCGTCACGCTTCCGACATTCACAACTGTGGAGATTGCATGGGATACTAACATTGTTTATACCTGCAGCAGAAACAACGAAATTTGTCAAATTGATATGAAATCTTATGAAGTATCACCCATCTGTCAAGGTCCTAACCCAAGTTGTACAAAAATGGTTATTTTACCCAAAGGTGAAGCCATTCTTGCTGGCATTGTGAGAGATTGTGTATTCATTTACTGGGAGCTATCATCTTGGCGTGAAATCAGATACAAAACTGAGCATCCTCAAGATTCCATCGTCACAGCAATTGATATTACAAGCGATGGAAAATTTGCTCTAACAGGAAGTAGTCTTGGGACAATTTCACTGGTTGATCTTGAAACGTCGAAAGTGGAGCAAAAGTTTGAAAACACGGAGTCTGGTGAAGGCGTACATTTGATTAGCATGTTGCCATATGATCTCAGTTTTATCATGGTTGACGAGGAAAATCGAGTGGAACTAAGAAACATCAATAGCTGCAGTGAAAAAGTACTACTAGGTTAGTTCACTTAATCATCAGTTTTAGATCAGTTGTTAAGCTTGTTTCTTGATTTTTCATTTAAACACGGCGAAGTCTGAATTACAGTAAACACAATATTTTCATATTATTTTGTTTCAATAGCTGGTTAGAAAGCAAACTTATTGTGGATTTTAATAGCTTGGGGAGTTTTTACATGATTATGTTTTAATCTTTTGACTAATAAGATTAAAAATGCTTTTGAAAAAACTGCAAAATGCACATGGAAAAGCAAAGAAATCTTTATCATAGGTTATATTGTACCCACCAGTAAACTAGAAAAAATTGCAAAAAATATGTGTTTAACTGCAATAACTTAGTTTGAAGTTACAGGTAAAGTATTACGTATGTTTTGAGCCAAAGGATTCGTTTTTTAATTTTTCTCAAACGAAACATAAAGAGCCCAAAACAACTATAATACACTTAGGGGCTGATCACATGAGCCCCCGAATAGCCGAGATTCAGTCAATGATAAATGATTTTGGCAAATGGAAACAATTCAATACTCATCATCAGATAAATCTTCTCTGGCAATTTCCCAATACTCTGGTTTGATAACTACACAAAACATTTAAAATCATAACTACAAATTTGGCCCAATTTGAGAATTACAACAGGAATGACTCGTGGTACTCAATAAACAATTGTAATTTTTGCGCTTGAAGTTTTGACTCCTTTCAATACCTCGAAATCATTTCACGCCTCACTGAAACTCGGTTAGCCGGGATCATGTAAACAGCCCCTTGGAGATTATTCTTTATATTATGACCTTACTGGTTAAGTTGCACAAAAAGTAAAGTTATTCAAGACATACCACGCAACAATGTAAAACAAGTATATAAAAAATTAGTTTTAGGATTTAATCCTTCAACATGCTTTTAAGAAATAAGCAACTATCAACTGTGTAACTTGTCTATCTATTGAATGTCATGCTCTTATGTTGATTAAATATTAGTTTCAGATAAATGTAAATGAAAAAGTTTGGCCATGCTGAACACGACATGCAAAACGTCTATAATTACGCAACTATCCAGCTACTGCATGGTTACTTTTTTAACATGCAAAATTGAAATATTGTTTTTATCTGTTTTGCTCTTTTCTAGTTACGGGCCGTTTATATGATCTTGAGTAGCTGGGATTCAGTGAGGCGTGAAATTATTCGAGGGTTGAGAGGGGCCAAAATTTAAAGGTTAAAAATTACAACTGTTTGTTAAGCGCTAGAAATCATTCCTGTTGTGATTCTCAATTCAGGGTAAATTTGTTGTTTCAATTTTAAATGTTTTGCCTAGTTCTTAAATCAAAATATTGTGAAATTGCTCGAGAGGATTTATCTGATAATAAGTATTGAATCATTTCCATTTGCCAAAATCATTTATCGCCTGACTGAATCCCGGCTGCCCTTGCTCATGTAATTAGCCCCATAGCTACATCAACTTTGTTTAATTTGCTTTTCAGTTTATCTGTTTGCTGTTAAGAGTGTTAAATATCGTTTAGAGTGAAAGAGTGTTAATAAAGTTAAGAGTGAAAAATATCGATATATATTTGGTAAAATAAGTTTGGAGGAATCGTGCTCTTGTCGTGATGATTCCTTATTTCAATCATCTATAGATCAACCTTATGTGAAAGTGAACTGCGTGACACCTCTTGGCTTGCAATACATACTGCTTGGCTGTGAAAACGGAATTCTGTTGCTCTTTAAATATAGAGACAGCAATCCAATTCAATATAGAAAATCCGCATTTGAAGAATCCGTGACCCAAGTCAAAGGTCATCCAAATAACGAATATCTTTATTTTGCTGCTGGGACAGAATATGGATCAGTAAAACTATGGTACGTAACAAAATTCACTCCTCCAATAATGACTGAAGTCTGGTCACATGATCGTCTTTACCGGTATCCAATAACAGCTCTCGCTTTTGTGCCTGAAACAGAAGATGTTGTATGCAGTTCTTATGAAAACTTTGTGCTTCGGTTGAATGCCAACGGAGTCGTCCGCAGGTACAGTTACAAAAGTTATGGGATTGCAGCGCTGCGTATTGTAAGTGAGATGCTTGTTGCTGTTTTTGCACATAAATTTAGTGTAGTGAAATGGTGTCTTGATGATGGTGAGATCGTCAAAAAGGTTCACAGTGACGAGGGTAGGGAACAGATGTCGCGTGCATATCTTGCGCTTGGTGACATGCTTAGTTTTGGGCAACCAACTGATAATTGTTTTAAACGCATCGTTTCAAAGGGGTCTCATGATTCTCTTTTCTACTGGGAACTACAAACAGGCAAAATTATTCATCTCATGCATGGTCACTCTCATGATATTCGTGCTTTAACGTTTATTCCTGGAGGAGAGTTTTTGCTTTCCGGCTCACGCGACAAAACGCTGAAACTTTGGAATTTGAAAAATGGACGATTGATCGAGGAGTTCCAGTTTGATCATTACATTCTCGCGATTGCCTGTGCTAAAAATGGAACTGTTTGTGTCGGATTACAAGGAGGGCAGGTTTGTTTCTTGCGCATCAAAACATTAGCAGCAAATGCTCAGTAGAACTTATGATGAAAATGTTTTAAGCGACAATATGTTGTATATTATTGTTTTATCTTAATAGATCAGGCTACTAATATAAGTGGGTCTAAAATCAACATGTCTTTAGCAAATAATTCATTCATTGTTCTTTCATTTAATAAAAAAAGCATATAGCAGGGGTAAAATATCGGGCTGATTAAACAAGCAATAACTTTGGGCAATTTTCCCACCTACAAATAAAGTCATGACAATCATCATTTCTCTTGAAAAAGCGTCGACTTTTTTTAAATGGTATTTTTGGTGAAGAGCAGCGGTTTTTTTAAGATAAAATAAAACGATCATTGTACAATTTAACCTTAAACTTTCCTTGCTTTTTGAACAATTATATTGTAGTTAATTTTTATAATATTTGAGAAACAAATGAAACATAGTATTCTTAAAATAGTTTCTTTATAAAGTCATATTTAATGTATTTATACTTATATTATTTTATTGATGTAAATATAGTATAGTTATAACTTTAAAATTCATTTTTACTTACAAAACTTTTTAAATAGATCTGAAAAGCCCGTTTTAGGGAGATCTCATAAGATTAATAATATCAATAACATTAAACAATAATTAATAAACACTAAAAATACGTGGTAGTTTAGCGAAACGTTTTAGGCGTACTATAGGTAGAAATGGTCTGTAAATAAGTAAATGTGGTGTGTACAGATAATATTCAGCTTTATACAGTTATTCAGCTTAATTTCAGCTTTAGCTTAGTATTTTTGTTCAGAAATGGTAGTATAGAGCTACTAGCTGGAAATTAGATTTTTAAAAGCTGAACTGAACATGAAATTTGCGTTGTACAACAAAAAAAACTTTTTCAAAAAAAAGATAGAAAAAATAGCAAGAAACAGGTAAAGCAAAGCTCTTTGACTACAGAAACATTTCATGTGCTTCAGTGCTTGCAATAACATTTGTGATATGATCAATTATGGCTGGCTACACTTGATACATGTTTATCTCATAGGTCATGACCTCAACAATTTTTTGGACAACGTAACACTGCGTTGTTTTTGAGCGTTGCTTGTGTTGGTATACGTCATGTTAGTTTTACATGGAAGAATGATAACTTTTGTCACCATATTCTTAGATGCATAGAAGTGGTATAACCCGAAAACATCTTCCACTCTATTGATTTTTATAATGCTTTTAACAAAAAAAAATGATATTTTGACAATGTTAACCTCGTAATATCTATATTTCTAATGCTTCCTTTTCATTTTGCTATACTTCATATTACTCTTACTATACTTATCTTTTTACACGATATTTGCATTAATCATTGCCTAAAAGCACAAGGAACAGCTTTCGCCCGTTTCAGGTCTGCTCTAGTCAGGCCAGCACGGTCAAATAATTATGCCAAAGCTCTGATTGGCTAGAGAACCTCACAGACAGGGGTGGCGCTAGAGGGGTTTGTGGGGGTAGAATACCCCCCCCCTAGTCAGTGTCGGCAAATTTTGTATGTATTCGGAAAACGTAAAACATCAAAGGAAAACCTTTTAAAAAAGTAAATGAAGTGATGCATCTCCAAGCTATCTTTAATACTTTGATAGCATCGGTACACTCAAGGCTTTTACTTTAAAGTTAGTCTAACGTTCACGAGTAACATAATAAGGCAAGGTCTTTTTTACAGCGAGTTTTTTTGTCACATCGTGTAATATACTTAGTAAGTACCTGCTAAAATAAATTTACTTTTGGTTGGACAGTGTTGAGTGTTCCCAATCAATTGAAGATTGTTTTAAACATTGCTGAGTTACAGGGGCTTGGGAAGTCTTGGCCCGTGAGTGTCTGGGTGTCAAAACACCCACAATTTTTGTAGTGTGGTGTTCCTTATAGGAAGAACACCTACAAGTTTAGCTTCTTACTTCAACGTTTTCTCATAGGGTACCAAATTCTCAAATTATTGAATGGGCATCAAGATCCAGGAAATTTCAAACGGTTTAGATAGAAATTGACAAAAAAACAGAACAAGGGATTTTGGTGGATTTTTGCATGAAAAGAAAAAAACTTATAGGAAATAGCTAATAGGAAAAAATTTCATTATTATTCTAAGTTTTGTATCATAAGCGGCATATTTTGATCTGCTAGTTGCTATTTAAACTTTTACATATAAACGTCAGTCATAAATCATTGAATGATTTACGCAACATGAAAAACATTCAACGATTGAAGCCAATTTGTAGGAAAAATTAGGCATTCATTGCTTATTTCGGCCTTGTTTTAGTATAAATTTATCGTATGAATAAATTTCATTGCATGTTGAGTCGTCAAATGGTCCGAATCCCGGTTTCCATCAAATCCCGGTTAAAAATCGTCGACATTGGCTGCGGGCGAAATTAGACCTTTGAGATAAAACTGCATTCTTTATCGTCGATCAATCGTCTTGACGATCAGCATTCCTCATCTTCAACTATGTTTCCATTTAATCGCTGAGCCAATATCAGGTATTTTTTTCGACGACTGAAGATTTGACGATAATATGGAAACCGGGCTTCATGGGCTACATTGTTTGTTTGCACAAAGATTCTTTATATCATACAGTGTGTCATGCTTGTTTTTATTTTTTCACAGTTTGCCTAGAAGTATGGTTAGCTACTTTGTCTCGTCAAATTAAACAATTTGGTCGAAAAATCTACGTCACTGCTCGGCTAAATTTTGCCTACACCTTTCCAACAAGAGAGGGCTGGAGCCGCCCTGCTCACAAAATGTTAAAATAGGTTGAGACAGTTTTCGTTTTTTCATGCTCTGATCAGCGAGAATGACCAAAACATAAATTACTAATAATAATGTCTGTCATGAAAGGAAACGTTAACTTCTATAATAAAAATCGTTTTAGAAGTAGACACAAAGTAAAACACTAAGATTGCTAAAAAGATAGAAAAAAAGTTACTCACGAAAATAGTTAAACACGAAGGTAGCTATAAAAAAAAACAGACGAAAAGGCTATAAAAAAACAGACGAAAAGGTAAACACAAAAGTAGAACAAAAGTAGACAGAAACACAAAAGTAGACACAAAGGTAAATATAAGGGTAGAAAAAAAGGGACGCAATATGGGAATTGAAAGGTCGTCCACTATGTATGAGGGATAATTACCGACAAAATCCTGCTTTAAATTCTGTTACAGTGATCTCAGTTCTGTTGTTCCAAATTAATGTTCTATCACAACGGAATTTCAACGAGTGCAATAAAATTCACGCCAACAAGACAAAATTAATGCGAAACAGAATTTACAAAACAAAACAGCATTTAGTGTGACACGACAGGATTTAACGAACTACCACATAATTCAAAACAACATAACCGAATTTGAGTTGATCCTAAATTCTGATATGTTGTTTCAAATTATGTTCTGATTTGATTTGAATATTACCGGAACCGGAAATTCAAGGCTGTTCTTCCTGTTTCCGAACTGAGACAACTTATATTTCCGCGCAAATACATTATATATAAAATTTTAAATAAACATGCCGTCTTCTGATTGTAAAGGTTCCTGAAGTCCCTAAACGATGGCTTGTCAATATATTTTTCACCTCGCAAATTTGGATTCATCTAAATCAAAAGAGTATCGAACAGTGAGGTCGCTAAGATTTTTCGAGTGGGGGAGGGGCACAAACTAAAAGACATTTTTGACTGGGGGGGCATCAAAATTTGTTCAACGTCAGTCGAAAGCAAAATTGCACTAAAAATTTCCTCTGCGCTGGGAATTGATCGAAACATTGGATCCAAACATTGATCACAACAACAACATAAATAGCTTCAATTTTCTAACTTCCTTGTTAAACCTGATTGGATTTGTTCATTCTTGGTGTTTAAACGTTATGTAGATTGACTATTGATTCCATTCCAATGTTTTCATATATTCACAGAACTGAAATATTTCTGTGAGCCTTAGTCTTAGTTAATGCTATATGTACATTTTCTGTGTCTACAAGTTTCTTTTAGATTTTTGTGTCTACAAGTTTCATCTATCTATACACGATCTCATACAAGTTCAGTGATGTGGTGTAATATGGCTCATGATAAGCATCAAAACGTCACATGTTCTTCCTTGCATACTTGAAATATTTTGGAAGTATTGTGTTTTGTTCTCATTTTCAAGCATAAAAAACTTCACCACTCGGTTGAAAAAGCAGAATGTGTAGATGCAACGCAAACTAGTTTGTACAGCTAATAGAATGCTTCCTTGTACAGCAGTAAAGTTGTGCAAATTATTAGCTAGTCAATTCGATATTGAATGTAATCCAAGCTGTCCGCATAGTAATTCCCTCTTTCTAAACGCCTTTGAATATCAACAATGTAGCCATATATTTCCTCACTCATCGTAATCATGTCATTCTCGTGAAAAATTATGAAATAAATTATAATGACAAAACAAATATCAAATACTCTGTTTGTATTATAGATATAATACTAAAATTTTCCTGTTATTTGTTGTACTAATGAAATTATTATAGATTCAACATACATGATAAACACATTCCCATCTAGATACGTATGTTAAGATTTTATTCCAAACTTCCTGCATAATAATATAAAGTTTCATGTTTGTAGATGTAGATCGTCCAGGTTAGTATAGTCCTGAGAAGGACTGTTTTTTGTTGTTGTTGACTGACGTTTCGACGACCTTAGTGGTAGTCATCTTTAGAGTCAAATGAGGAGTAAACGTCAGGTTAACCCTATTTGTTATCTTGTTCTTACGTCATTGTATTGTGTGTACGAGAAATGTGTATTGTTATTGTGAATTAGTGTGAAGTAGTTGATTCGTCTGTGACAGTCGTCAATCCGTGCTCTTCTTCGGTAGTCATCTTCAGAGTCAAATGATTAGGTTGTCAAAACGTCAGTCAACAACAACAAAAACAGTACTTCTCAGGACTATACTAACCTGGACGATCTGCATCTACAAACATGTAACGATACTCCGGGCTCAAATCATTTACTTTAACATAAAGTTTGTATGTTTAATGTGTTTGACTGTTTGTCCATACTTGCTTGTAATTTTCCGATTTGAGTTAATGCACAGGTGTGGTAACTTTTTTAACTTTGTTAAAGTTATTGTCAGCAAATTTAAAAAAAAATAATTGTCTCCAGCAGTGCCTTCACACAATGAACCACGGTCTAACTTAAGTGCTCATTAACCAAAAATGGATGGTTGTCAATTGAGCATATTGATTTATCACAAAAAATTGGTAGGTGATCATAGTACAGGTGCGGCCAGATTGAATGTTGAGTTTTTGTATCAATTACAGTAGTTAATTCATATATGTTCCTGAAAAGACTTTACAATAAGAAATGGTAAAATTATATTTTAACATGTAACACTGGTTATTCTCTACATTCATCTCCGGCAAAAATTTTCACAATGAATCTATGAGCACCAAAATAAATTCTGTTATGGAAAATAGGTACGCAGTGCGTACATGTGGGTAGCCTATAAAATTATAGTCTAGCAATTAAGCTTAAAACCGGTAAACTAATGGCGATAAAAAGAAAATTTGTAGCTTAACCTCACTCTATAGTTTAAAGTGCGGTGGTTATTTTTCAGAGACAATACAACAAAGCAAAATTAAATATAGACATAATTTTCTAATACATCTTCAATGACAGAGTTTACATATAAAATACAATAAATATGTTACACAAAATGAAGTTAAAAAGAAAAAGGATAGAAGTAAGGTTCCACGATGGCGGCTTAGGTTGGTTTAAACAATTATGAAGCTTTTAGAAGATTCCAAATTTTCTATAATGATGTCCCAAAAAAATTCATTTGAGTAGTCAGCAAGTACTTCGTGTTGATCAGTTGATATGAGCATGATATTAGTTAAATAAGTTCAACAACAACTTTTGTTATTTTTCGGTCGTCAAGAGGTTGCTTCTGGATGATAGAATAAATCCTCCATGCCGTCGTCATTCGATACTTTGGTCTTTCGCACCAAATAAAATCGTTGGCTAAGGCGCATTGATAAGATACAAGGTAAAGAAGTCTGTAATCTGTATGCAAATGATTTCATTGCCATAGTATCAGTGATGACACATGACGTTTACTGATAAGATCATTGTTTTTTTGATCGAGACATTAGTCCGAGATCATAACAAATCTTGTAATTTTTACCGCATTTTTTTGGAGACGCACTTCCTTTTTACTGTTAATTAGTCACATATAATTTGGCAAAAACGATCCGGTTTCAAGGCTTCAATAAGATGAGATGATGAGATTGTAGTTTTGCATGTTGATAGACTCATATACAATTATTTACCTTGATTCATAATCAGTGTTTCAGCTTGAACATCATGTGATTAAATTTGAAAATATGCTACTGGAACCTAAAATAAAAGATATAATTTGAAAACAAGTAAGTGACAGAAAAGAACAAGAAACGCTTAACTTTTCGTTTACTGGAAGCCGGCCAATAAATATTGGGCTGAGATCATTTGACCATGTCAATACTATGGTGCTTTGCTACTTTGTTACCCTTAAACAACTTATTAGGGTTGTTCTTTAACATGTCAACACTATGTACCGATATCATTGCCTTCTTTCCTTAACAGAAGCCCAAACTGCTTAGCGATCACTAAAGTAAGTTTCAAGAGTACTTGCTTAGACATCTTCTTCCATCAAATTTGTATAGAGGTGATCAATCAAAGTCCATTATCTGTTGTGGAACTTGATATAAGTTGCTGGAGACTATTGTCATTGATCATAAGATTATTCAGTGATCTTCGTTCTGTCTTATCAAGCCAATCGACTTTAAAGTCACCAATGATTATAACCTGTGAAGTAGGATGCTCTTCCAAAGTGGAACAAATGGCAACAAAAAGAGATGACAGTGCAAGTGTTGGAGATCTTTATACAGCAATTACAATTAAGTCTGGGTGTTCGACTGTCTTCAGCAAAGTTAGCTCGATTCCACGACAGTTTCCTACTCATGGGTATCCTGTCATCATGGGAAGTTTGAAATATACAGCTGTTCCGTGATATGGACGATTATTGTGCGAAATGTCATCATTTTTTGTATAACTCATAGCCTTGAATCTCATACATTTCATTAGGGTCTTGAGCGCTAAATATTGTTTCAGTAAAAATTTGGACGTCAACTGACGAATATTGTATAACTTTTCGCCTATCATCAATGTGTTTGTGCAAAGATCTTGCATTGAGATAAGAAATTTTTAAATCAGTTTAATTTAGCATGTACAACAAAAATTTAATTTATACTCATTTCTCAGCAATTGCATTTCTTCTACAACTTTAGCATCAGTGCAAATCTTACTTTCGCAAAGATCGGTCAGTAGACCTTCGATATTTGTTACTCTGTTTAGGGCCTGATTACATCGACCGAGTTGGCCCGGTCCAACGGGTGCCCTACTTCTTGCAATGTTTTCTTATGTTTTCAAAAACTTTGATTACATGAGAAGCGAGTTGGCTCGCTTTACCGGGACTGCGGTTGTTGATTGCCGGGCCAACTCGCCTAGGCGAGATGAAAACTATCCTTTTTCGCCGTGCAATTGCTTCTTGCAGTGTTGTCCAGGCAAAGCGAGTTAGAATGGTAATATATGCGCATGTTCGTACTCTTACGTTTCGTTTTCAAAATGGAGGACACTCTACAAAAGGCAAGTGCACAAAAAAATCGATTCAAATAATCAAATCAATCCTGAAATCCGTTTCATATTAACCAATGAATTGGTCTAGGATTTACTTGATGCATTACTTGATTATAAAACCAGAATGGAGTACAACAACTCTGATTTTAATGCTGATATAAGCAAACAATATGAGGCGGTTAAGATGAAAATGGCGTTGAACTATAGCGATCAACCGTCTCTGTTTGGTCCAGTGATTATTCGTGATCAAATCGTTGATCTAGAGGATAGGAAAACTTATTTAAAAAATGTTGAAGACGATAAAGCAAAAGTGCGAAAGGGGTATTCGCGAATTTTAGAGAAAATAAAAACTTTGAGACAGAAATTTAGTAATGCAGTCACATCTGGAAGGCGTTCGGGATGTTGACGTTTAATCATGGAATTTTACGATATAATGGTTCTAATATGGGGTAGGTCCCATCAACTGAGCCTCTTCCTTATGGCAGATGCTTAGGTGAAGCAGTTCATAGTGAACATGCCGTTTTACTTGACTTGACTGACAATGATTTGGAAAATGGAAATGAAGAAACTAATAAAGGAGATGATACTGTCCTTGACTCCTTTTCCGGTGATGGAACTACATCTACTTTAAGCAATGATATTGGTAAATGTAAGCGCCTTGATAGTGCTAGTATACATTATTCAGTTCCATTAGTGATTGACAACAAAAGAAAACATTTGGAACGCAGGTGTTAGCTGCACAGAGAGACAAATTCTACTTCAAGAATACAAAGAGGAAAAAGAGTTTCGTAAAGAGTTATCTAGTGCATTGAGAGAGTCAAAAATATTTTTGCTGAATCAATGAAGGCAATGAGTACTGCAATGATGGCAAAGGCTTCATCAATACAAAGGTCAGCTGAAGTTCAGAATGTGACATCTCATTATTTTAATATGGCTCCACAAGCTTCAAATCCATTTCCAACAATCTCAAATGTTATTCAGCAAGGAAATTACTCATATCCTAATGCAAATAATCGACATTCTACAGCAATACCAAGCGGGAATAATGGAAATAATACTGAGGATGAGCAGCCCACATATTGTGATTTACATTAGACCTGGTAACGTTTTTGTTAGCACTTACGTTGTGGTTTGATATTTACATTGTTTTTTGTTTTTATGTTATTGTTCAATCATATTGTTCAATCAAATTCAATTATAAGCGATGATTTTATATTTTATAAAGTACAAGCATTGAACTTAAAGATATTTTTTAGTTGACTTACATTCAGATCAATGAGACTGCATTTATAACCCTGTAAGTTTGTAATTGTTTATTATAGTTTTAGAAAGATGTAGTTTTTATAATTTGCCAGTTATTACATATTGCCACATAGTAAAAACAAATTCTTAATTATTGTGATAAAGTTACAAACAGCTAATAAAATTCATGCCTTAAAAATAGCATGCAACTTCTAAAACACAAATTATTTTCTAGACAGTAGCCAAATAATATTTTTTGCTTTTTTCAATATTTATGAGGCAATTGTACTTGTATATATTTTGTAAGAGTATTTCTTATGGCTTCTCCATCCCCTGTGTTGTCAGAATAGACTAGATCTGGAGCATTTATGTACATATTTTTATTAGTAATATTTTCTGCCATTCGATATCTTACAAGCTCTGCATCAATTTCATCATGATAAAGTTTACAGAAATCGTGGAGTACAAAACATGCCAAAACAACATTAGGTTCTGTAGTGAGCTTCAGCTCCATTGTTCTTGATAAAATGGACCAACGGGCTTTAGTTCGTCCGAAAGGACATTCAATTGGATTTCGAGAACACTTTAATAAATTATTGAAAATCATTTCAACATCACTTTTGCAAGACTGAAATTCCTTGATGCAGTATGGTAGTAAAGGATAAGCAGAGTCACCGATGACATAATTAGGAATCTTATTATGACCAGGGAGTAGGTTGTTGAAGGTCTGTGGTAGTTGTCCTGAATGTAGCTTTTTGCCAAAAAAAGAATTTGAAAATACTTTTGCATCATGCACACTAACAGGCCATCTGCACTCTTCATCCATGAACAAACCCTTGGCATCACACACTGCTTCAACACTCAGCGAGAAGAGCCTATGGTAATTAAAATAGTCCTGAGACTCGACATGTGGTCTTTGAATAGGAATATGGGTCCCATCAATGCACCCCATCGCCTGTATCATGCCAAATTTTGTCTCAAACTCTGTAGCTTTTATTCTCAAACTGTTCACTAGTTAATTCCAAGTGTATTTGCCGTCATCAAAATTGTGGCAGTGTCTTTCAAATAGTACAACGTCACAGCAACGTTTTTCTCGACAAATAACGCGGGATAATTCTGTGATATACCTGGAGAAATATAAGATCGTAATTCTTCGCACAACTCAATAAACTGGTCCTTCGACGTGCGGAAATTCTTTTTCCAGTATTCTAGTGGTGATATTTCATCAATCATATTCGCCCACCAAGCATCTGTTCTTCTCTGTTTTACTCTCCTTCATCTTTTTGTAACTAATCGTTTTAGTTTTTGGTATATTTTACTTTTCTTTGAGCGATAGTCTTCTTTGTGGCGTAATACATTATTAAGAATCTGCTTACATGTTGCCAATAGGCAAAATAAGCGTGCAATAAACCTTGAAACTGAAAAATTAATGCTGCAAAAAGGCAAAACTTGCGAGAAACATCAAACTTCATTTTGGAAACAAACGAGGCTTGCCTTTTTTCCCGCCATATTTTAAACTATAGTCTGGGACGCAATATTTCATGTAATTCCGTCTAATCGGGCCAACTCAATTCCATGTAACCGGCATGCTAGAGCGACATAGTGATATGTGGAATTGCCCTTCTTGTACTCAAATTAATGACAATTTGTGATTGATCACCTTGTGATCTATGAATAGTTTTTGCTGACGCTGGTCTTAACGGAAATTGCTTTATTACAACGTGAGTGAATTTGTTTTACCAACAGCAAGTTGTCCATGCACTTGAAATATACGTGTTTGCGTATAAAGAATTGAATTTTCTTGTCGAGTTTTCCTTCCAACATCATTGCAGTCAAACTTTAACCCAGACGAGACCAGAAGGTTTCGTATAGTTGGTCAATTGAATATGTTTTATTACATTAGTCGCGCCGATTGTCAAACTATTATCAGTGCCAATATTTATTGCAAGTTCTGTTCGCTGTCTCACAGCAATATGTAAATTGTAAGCTATCTGTTTGGAATTTTTTAAAGAAACGTGAGGTTTTTGCCGCATTATCTTTTCTTTGAGTTTAGATGAGCAAGCTCTAATGACGCTATCTTGTGCGTTGATATTGTGTTTTTGAGCACGATTGAATGATTGATAAACTTTAACATTATATTCATCAACCAAAGTATTTTGAATGAATAAACGTATAGCTTATGTGGGACACTCTCTTCAACGCATCGCTCATTGAGTTTTCCGCCTCTGGGTGCCGGAAATATTTTTGAAATGCTAATCGAGGGGCGACAAGTCGACATTCTAGTTCATTTAGATAACAAAGATGGTTTTTCAGCAAATTTCATACCATTAGCAATCGCACAAGGGGAAACTTTCCCCCATTTTAAGGGATCATTACAGGTTTGACAAATCCATTCAATATCATCAAAACTTTGCAGATACTGAGTTATGTCAGGATTAACCAATCTTAACTTGTCTGCAGGAGAAACAGAATGTTTATTACACAATTGGTCACAGCAAGTGCAATTATATAGAGGTCCTGTGGTGATAGAGTTATCAAACTTTGTAATAAGTGCTAATGTGTCAAAATATTTACTTTACAACCAACAATATACTGCATTTGAAGTAACAGTTGCATTTGAAGGCAGTTCGTTAACTTTATGCTTACAATGCTTTGTAGATTTTAATTTTTCTAGAAGCTCTATTTCTTTCTTTGTCTTTGGCAGGTCTAGCTTCCCTTTGCTCAGTCGTCTCATTTTGTTTTCTTGCTTTGTATGCATTTATGTCTTTAACAAGTCTAGCTTCTCTTTGCTCAATAGTCTTGTTTTGTTTTCTTGTTTTGTTTACATTTTTGGCGATGGCAAGTTTAGCTTCCCTTTGCTCAATGGTCTCATTTTGTCTTCTACCTTTTTTTGCATTTTTTTCAATTGTAAGTCTACTTTCCCTATGCTGGGTACTCTCATTTTGTCTTTTTGCTTTTTCCTGCTATTAGCTTTTGTAAGTCTATCTTTTCTTTGCTGAGGAGTCTCATTCTATTTTTTTGAACTGATATATTCTCTAATTTTTGCAAGACTAACTTCACTTTGTCTTGTTTTTTCATTGGTTCTCATCCTTTTTCTAGATATTTGAATGTTTCTTATGCAGTTTACTTTTTCTGTGTCTATGGTTGATTGTTTCATTGGCTTAGACAAGTCTATTATATTTGAATTTGTAAAATCTTTTGACTCAAGCCCTATGACCATATCATCATTACTAATGCACTTTACTTCCTTTAATTCAAATGGCAATACAATTTTGTTACGCTTGACTTTGATGTTAATCGCAAATACTCTACAAGATTTTCTATTCCTTTCATTGATATTGAAACACAAAAACCCGATGCACATGGTCTACCATATAAATCTCGTGAATTTGAATCAAACACTTTAGACACATCAGGAAAAGGCATCATTTATTGCTACAGTACTCATACCAATTGCTAGTAAGCAATTTTTATGGTTGAAAAAATGAAATACTTCATTAAGAGGATGCTCAAGAGTCACATATGGGAGACTATTTAATCAAAAAGGAAAAAATCTATTGACTGCTTTATTGCCACCAGTTCTAAGGCTTAGTTCAAACGGTGACCTTCTCATGTGCCGAACTTAAAAAAGCGACGTGAAACGAGTAGCGTTATCACCCTATTCGTGCGTACATATCCTATTCAATCCATGATCTAAACCCGAGTAAACTGGAGTGAATTTTATGGCGCTCAATTGTAAACAACATGGCGTCTTCGACGAGACAATGTCAATTGATTGTTGACTGTAATTTTTGTCAAAAAGAAACAAAATACAAGTGTATAACTTACAATAGTCTAGTTTGTAACCGTTGTAGTTTGTTTCAAGACGATGAGGAAACTATTGGTTGGAAAGCTGGAATCTGTTGGATCTTGCCCAAATTGTGTAAGGAATTCAACCACTGATAGGCATCCAGTCGAATCACCGGAGATAGAAAATCATCCCACTCTGTTTAATTTAAATACTTTTTACGCTGAAGGCCGAGAAACTTCAACACCCTCTCCGTTACTTGGAAGAAAAAGGTTAGACCTAAATAATTATTATTAAAGCCCCAAGAAATATTATAATTTTCCTTTATTCAATATACCGTATTCGTACTATTGTTTAGACCAACATTTTATTTGTAATTGCTCAACTGATGATGAATCTAAAGTTAATGCTAATGACGATCGTTCAAGCTGGCAGGAAAGCCTTGTGGACCGAGAACGTTTTAAATGATTTTATCGATATTGTTGCTAACAGTGATTACTACAAGAAAAATTAATTTTCACGAATGCGAAAACCAAAAGAATGGTAATATATGCGAAAACATTTTGACAGCAAGGTGCCATGAAAGAAAAGAAAACATAGACCTTACTGTTTCTCAAATACGTATTAAATTTAAGAAATGTACTGAAGAATGCAGTAGTATGGAGACTGCCAGTTCTAGCACACTTCTCAGTTTGAGAAGGAGTATACACATATCTAAGTGCAAACGCAAAACTTTGAATAATTTCTGAATTTAAAGGAACAAAAAGATAATCCTTTAACCACGGTACACGTAATGGACACCGTTGACAAAGCAGTTATCCTATTTCATCAAGAACGAAACTTACAATGCCTGACGCTTCCACTACACCAGCGAAAACCCAATTGCATTGGTTAAAGTATTGATTTGTCATGTAAAAGGTTTGTTTGTTTTAATATTCCAATCGATATTGATTTCCTGAGTGTTGCAATTAGATTATGCAAATATAAAACACCCCCAACACCCCCACACACAAGCAATTAGTTTACACAAAGAAAACATTTATTTAATGATAAGATTTTATAACCAGTTTCTGCTCACCAACATAGCTGAGCAGCAAACGGTCAATGAAGAAAATATCAGGACCTGACATGCCTACAATTGCACTTCCCTTGATAAACTCGTATCTTGTCTTCAAACCATAGTTCGGATCCTCAAGATGGGGATCAGATGATTCCATTCTGCCTGCGCTATCACTATAGTACAATGCGGCAGTGAGTTGAGATCGTTTAGCTGGCGGACCATAATTCAAAAGGGTGTCAATCTACGCACGATAGGCAAATGTTCCTGTTACTTGTGTGACAAGCTTTTTATTCAAAAATACATCCACTTGCTTAATTAAACTGTGTAAAAAATCTTTCACCTGCCCAACTTTAGCATCGTCATCAAGATTCTGCCCGTTTGCTTTGGTCACTTTTGCTCTTACTACAAGCATTGTTTTAGACAAGTCAACGTAATCTTCAGTTTCGGGCCATATAAAAGTAAGCGGCCCATTGTCAGATACACTAGATACAGGTAGGTGATTAACCTATTGTCTTTTTTCTATAACGGTTTGCGTTGGTGGCATATAGAATAGATCAAGCTAGCTTTTTGTACATTCTGATGATTTCAGGTAAACAACTTCCATTTTTAAACAAAATATCTTCTGCTTTATTTGCTTTTCGTCTCTTGACCGAGTTGTGAATGACCTTGGAAGGAGAAGATTTCCTCTTTTAACTGTTTTTCAAACTGATTTCTTACGAGGTTGTCCTTTTCCAGTTTGAGCAAGGCTCTGCATTCTTTGACTATTCATGATACAAGGAAAAAGCTCAGATCCATGTCTTTATGTGAAAAATACGAAGCAACAAGAAGTGAATTTTATGATACTGTCTACTCATGTTGATGATATTCTTCTATTTTTCAATTCTACCAGATGCTGAAAGAAGAAAAGGAAGCTACTGCTTCAAAATTCAAAGTTGAAGATTTAAATAAAGTCAAACATTTCCTTGACATGCTGATCAAACGAGACAGAAAAGAAAGAAAATTGACAATCAGCCAATCGAAGTATTTGGAAGGAATCTTGAAACGATTCAACATGGAACAATGCAAACCAGTTTCAACATCGTTAGAGTTTGAGAAACACTTTCAG